ATTAAGTCCAGAGCAAGCATCACAATATTTTAAAAAGATTTATTGATCTATTTTTATCGTTATTCAAAGTGCATGTGGAGTATTAAGTGTTACATGTAAGACGCAGAATTACCAGGCTGGACTTTCTCTATATAAATCAAATCTACATCTGCCAGCCAGACTACTCACCAGCCTTCCTGAGCTGCTCAGTTCTTGTAGGTTTTCTCTCAGTGGACAAGATGGACTTCACGGGTGTGACCGGTGCCGCGGCTTGAGCTCCACTGGACTCTGCAGTGTCCTTGTTGAGGGAAGTCACAGAATCACTTGGCTTCACTTTCTTCTGCACGCCCACCGCAGCTTTCCTGGCTTCACTCTGGCTGCGCGTCGCACTGTGCGTTCTCTTCTTTTTGGCTGCTGCAGACACTGTCATGGCTCTGGACAGGTGCCCCTGGTTGCTGGATGACACAGTTTTTAATGGTGGCTTTTGTAACTTTGCTGGTGGATTGTTTGGTTTGGATTGAACCGTAGCTTTATTTTGTAGGTCAGTTTTCTTCTTCGGGGAGATTTCCACAGAGTGGACACCTTCATTAGGCACTTCTTTCTCTTGGTCACTTTCTTCCTGCACCTGGTCTAGATGGCTGTCTGCATTGGACGCAGCATGAGGTGGAACTTGTGCAGCTGCTGCTTTACCCCTGGCTGTGCTGGTCACAGCACCATCCACTGTCCAGGTGGTTCTCCTGGGACTCTGGCCATACTCCTCTGGCAGGGCTTTGGGGCTGGTATGGGGGAAGGGATACTTAAAGACAGGAACCGATGGTACCTGGGCCTCCTTTGGTGGTGTTGAGGGCAGAGCAGGAGACAAAACAGGAGAGTTTGCTGACTGAATCCGTCTCATTTCTTGCTCTTTCTGGACTGTCCACGTGGTTCGTCTAGGACTTTGTCCTAGGGCCTCGGGAATGTCCCTGAATAATTCTTTCTTCCCTTTACATAGCAATGCTGCCTTGTCCTGCTCACCTGTCTTCGTCTTGGTGACAGTCAGTGTGCTAAGTCTCCTGGGATCAGGGACATCAGGTGTGGCATTGACTGGGTCCACCTGGCTCCTGGGAACAACAACGTTTGTGTCCTCATTGGTAGGTTTGACCTTGGTCACTGTGTCTGAGATCAATCTCTTGGGGACGATCCTTGGCGTGCTGGACAGCCTCTGCTTCAGTTCCGTCTTCACAGTCTCTAGCTGTTGCACCAGGACATCGTGAGGGATGGACTTGTCAAACAACTCTCCTGGACTGTGCTCTAATGTGGCCTGGGGCTGGGGTGCAGTGTAGGTCTCCTGCAGGAAGGAGTTAGGAGACACATGAACTACATGGTCTGTTTCCCTACCGAGTGGTGTCTGTACCTCCACAGCAATCTCCCTTGTCAGGGGCTGGGTCTTCTTGCAGGAATTCTGCAGGAACGAATTGGGGGTCACTTTCATGTCTGTCTTGGTGCCCATGTTGAGGGGCATGTTCAAGTTGGGCTCGTCTGGAGACAGCTGGGGTCGGGAGGACCCCTGGAGGAAGGAGTCAGGACTGAGGTAGCCCACCTTGGAGGGCGTGTCCTCCATGTATGCCCTCTTCATCTTCAGGTAGTCTGCCGGGGGAGTGTCCAGGTACAGAGGGGTTTTGGTTTCACTGACCTGCTTTTCTACAGCTTCATAGACCTCCAGCCCTGGAGCTGCTGTTTGGTCTCGGCTTGGACAGTCCTGTGGCACCACCTTCAGTTCTGTTTGTACAGCTGCTATTTGAGCAGTTTTCTGCTGGGCTCCATACTCATCTTCTGTCAGTTCATTGATCTTCGTAAAGGTCAGTGATCTACGCATATTTTTTGGTGTTCTAGGCAGTAAGGCGGTAAAATCAAAATCAGACACTTCACCACAAGTGTAGGTTGCATTGTCATTTTCTGCTCTGTCACTGTTGTCTTCTCTGGTCACTTCTGGTGTGTGGGTTTTGTTCTGGATTCGTACAATTTCTGGTGTGCGCGTAACGTTGCAATCTGTCTTCAATTCTGGAGAAGTAAGGGCAGTAGCCTGTGGTGCCGTGGTTTTCTCTGGCATACCAGTCCTGTTCTGCACTCTACTCACTTCAGGTGTACATGCAGTTCCAGTTTCTCTGGTCACATGGGTGTTACTTGCCATTCCAGTATCTCTGGTCACGTGGGTGGTGTTATGGACTCTGTTGTGGTCTGGAGAGTGGGTAGTGGTCTGAGCCCTGGTCACTGTGTTCTTGGACTTGGTAACTTCACGGAGGACTTTCCCGTCAGGAGTGGACACTGTGACGATGGTCTCTGTTATCACACTGTCCACTACGACGTCAACTTCTGAGTACTTCACATGACCATCCAATGCTGTGTGGGAGGCAGGTTCTTCAAGTGACCCTTGAGAATGGACAGGATCCCCTGTATGGCCCACATTTGGCAGGTTTTCCTTGGTTTCTGCACCTGCCTCCAATTGTGTGATAGCAGGTACAGCTGGCTGCTTGTTCTCTGTGTCAGAGAGGTCCACTGGATTCTGGTCGGAGCTAATCTTCAATGAAGCTTTGCCAATCTTTTCCTGCTGTTTCCCCGAGGAAGTCCTCTCTGGCTGTGTGTTGGGGATGTTCTTGGACTGCAGAACAGTGAAAGGTTTACTTTTGCTGCCCCAATGTTTTCTGATCTGAAAACGGAACATTATTAACAGGTCAATACAGCACAGTTTGCCCAACATAACAACAAATGACCTTTTACACGATTCAAAATACTGTCATAATCCGTATTCTATTTATCATGAAGTGTTTCTATTCATCTTAATTTAGTGTGGAAGATAAAGCAAACAGTATCATGAAACATTCATATGACAAAATATATGACATATGAATTGTGAAGGATAGATATATTGGAAGCCACAGTTTAGATAATTTCACAGTCTTATTAAACATTTGTCACATGCAAAGAATGAAGAATTGATTTTGGGTTATAAGAAAAAGTAAGAATAAATGGATAGGGGGCCTTATAAATAAGGGTCTGGGGGCTGTTTAAGAATTAGGGAAAAAATTCATTTAAAAAAATCATGTCTGAAGAGGTCTTTCATACCCTCTTAGGCTGAGGAGGGGCTAGCGCTGTGCCATAGATGATGGTTGTCAGTCTGTATGCATCATCGACATGAAACTGAATCATCTGGCGGCAGTTGCCTTCTTCTGTTGGTTCCCACACGATCTCCAGGCAGAGGTCACTCTTGGCAGCCACTGTGAACTCTGCCATGTCTATGCTGAAGTTCTTTATGAAAGGGAATTTCTCGACTACCACATCTTGGTCGTAGTCGTGAGGGTTACGAACCAAGAGTTGTCGCTTTCTTGTCTTCTGCAACTTCACCTGAACAAAATAGAAGACAAAACATAAAAGGGAGTAAAAGTGATTTGATATTAAATAATCAATATAAATAATAAATAATTTTATTTAAATAATATAAAATCTGGGGTAGCGCTAACACTCGCCAATTTAGCCAAATGCTAATACTGACATAAAATGGCTAAACAAACANAGGGCTTGATTTAACTTGTTTTAGTCAAATTAATATAACCATTTGGATAACAAATTAACAAAACGGTGGTGATTTGGCTAAGTGAAAAAAATTGCTAGCACTATCCCAGAAAATATTTAATTTTTTGCTTGTCCCCTTGATCAGTATTCCTATGTGATGATTTTAGTAGGATTACTTTTTCTTTTCATAAATATTTTACAGCCTAATAAAAATAATAAAAATTCTTGTAAAAAAAATAATGCTTACTTATCCTCCCTCAGTCATCAACACAGCTGAAGTTTTAGCATCCATTGGGTAATTCAAAGTTGTCAAAGTTCAAAGATGACTAACATCAAGCTTTTTAAAAGTAGAAAATAATTCAAACCTTTCCAAAGTCTATCCTGGGTGGCTTGGTAAAGTGCGTCAACAGCAGCACCTCCACATCTGGAGGCGCTGGCTTTGGGTCACTCTCATCTGCCAACTTCACAGGAGGCGTGTTGGTCATGAACCATGATCTCCGCCCCTTTTTCTTGGCAGGGTTAACATTTTCATCAGATGGTACTGTGGGTGTGGTCAGTAAAGGCTGGTCAGTATTCAGGGAGGTTGGCGCCAACAAACTGGAAGGGTCAGCTGCCATTGTGACCTAAAACTTGAAATATATGATACTGATGTATGATTGACGGTAGCTACTACATGGCTAAGGTGTAAAAAAAAATCATGTACTACTACACGATTTTGGGAGTTGGCATCAAGCAACAGCAGCAGGTAGTGGCCTCATTTTTCAGCTTGTCAAATACCATACTTTTTTTTACATTTTTGTAAAAGTTTAAAGTGAGTAAAAGACAAATAAATGGTTAAGTACTAGTATGGCGATTTTATTAAATTTGTTTTAAATACATCACTGACTTTGATCTCATTCTTTATCTTTATTACTATCATTATTTTATTTATTTTCATTACGATTTACGACTGGTGCTGTATCCTCGAATAATTTAATATGGTTTTGAAACCGATCAAAAAAGCCAGGACAAAGGCACTTTTTAATATGTCGGCTATGTTGAAACGTTCTTTTGTCTAATATATCTGACACTTTAACTAATAAAACCCTTCTCTACTACTCTGAGAAACGATAATTATGGCATCAAACTAAATATGTGACAAAATCGTAGAATTGGAATATTATTTGCATTGGCTTTCATAAGGCCAGAAAACATAAAGGTTTATCAGATCTTAGCAGTGTGTTGAGTAATTAAGTGACATATTGCAAAATATTCATCGAAATGTATTCCCTCTACAAACAAACATGTTTAAAACAACTTACTTTCACTCCTGCTCAGGAAACTCTACCAACATATCATGTTTTCAAGTTGAATTTGGAACGTTTCCACATGTAACCAATCAGACAGCGTGTTGTAAAACAAAGAACCAATCAAAATGCTTTTAACAATTGGCCTTTTAAATTTCAACCGGAAGTTGAAACCGGAAGTTTATGTGTGTCATGTGATCGGGTCAAAATGGTGGATTGAAGTCTGTGTTTTTAACGCTCTCAGAAATTCAGCATTTTTCTGTAATTCCACAGAATGCAAAGCCTTTAAGTCGCCATCTGATGTGTTCAAAATGATGGGAATGGTATGTAAAACTTAAAACTTTTAGCATTCACCTTTCAACGCCGTAATCTTTAAATTAGTAAAGTAACTTCCCTCATAAAGACGAGTCCACCAAGGCAATGCGATTACATCTGTCAGACTAAAATATGCGCAAAACGCCGCGATACACAAGCAAAAAAAAAATTAACGAGTCCAGTCACAAATAAAGAAAATATCTTATAAAAGCGAATCATAATTACTAGCTAATTATTACCGTTGATACAACTTGAGTCCACACGATGTTGGCATGTGCCTATCTGTTAAGTTGTTTCAACGATTTTAGTTACCTGGTTATATATTTCGCTTTTATATCACCATATTTATTGGGAATTACCATATCCTGTGTTGACTTGCCACCCATAAGTGTAACTGTATTGCGCTCTATTAGGGCGTATTGTGCATTTAAATGGGATCACAAAATTGAAGTGAAGGGGATCACAATATTTTTGACTTAGGCTCATCTTTCATAAGGACGCAAGTATCAGAACATCATGTTATGTATAGAGTTATTGATACATTATGTGCATGTTTTCTTAATCTGTTTCAGTACTTTGAGTTTAAGGACAGTTTACACAACTTCCTTATATATGGATGGAACACATCTACCCTAAGTAGTAAGTAAAGCCTAGCCAGAGCCTAGTTTTTTCTTTTTTATTCAGTTTCATGTAAATGTTGAAGACATTTTTTTGAAAACTGTTATATTTTTTTAATGTGCTTTAGTTGGCACACACATTCTTGCAACATCAAACCAAAAACTGTATTAAACAATTATGACGACCCACTTTCAGCAAAATGAAAACAGCATTTTCAGTAGCGCTGATTAGCAGTATTCCTAAAATGCGACATACACTCCGATACAGCACAACACTGCATAACACAGTGCAATATTAGAAAAAAAAACCCTGTCGCAAGTATAATGGACTTGAGTCAGATTGTCCGCCATGTTGGCCAGTTTCTTTTCTTGGCAAGATGGTGGGTGACCCAGTGTAATGCATTGTGTTGCACTGTATTGTGTCATGTTGCACATTTTAAGGAGACCCATAAATCGTTTGCGTTAGTATTGACGGGAATTTATTATATTATTTTTTTTATTTTAGTGTTTTTCCAAATGTTCAGCAGGATACATTTATTGACTCAAAATTATTGATATTGATTATATGAAAAAAAGAAAGTAATTTGAGAACCTCCTTTGGACTAGAATAAGATTAAAAACAAAATTTTGTATACTTTTTTTTTTTTTTTGCATTTGTTAAGAAAAGGAAGTTGTTTTATCAATTTATTTGCTTTGTTCTTGTTTTGTTCGGATGCACAGAGAGAGAGAGAGAGAGAGAGAGTGTGAGAGAGAGAGAGAGAGATGGTTTATTATGCATGATTTGTTATGACATAGATTTCACAGATATGGCAAAAGGAAATGTTTATTTTTGAATATTTCATTTTCATCCTAAAAAAATTAGTTAAAGGTATAAGTACTATAAGTGTTTGAACATGCCTCAAAGTCCTCTTTGTATGTTGTTATATCCTGTAAAGCTACTTATCTTTCAAAGTTCAGACCTTAAAATTACAAAACTCCTCAAATATAAGTTAATAATGAGTTAATGTTAGAAGAAATTTTCCTTTCTCTCTCTCTCAAAAAAAAAAAAAATAATAAATTTGGCATGAAAATCCTATATAGAGAATACCTTTTATTTAAGATTTCTTTAATTCCAGCATTTTTCTCTTTCCTTGTTCTTCCAGTGTGCTTATACAAAAGCAAAGTATTCAATACATTTCATTTGATTATTTCAGCATTTAACATTTATGAATATTTTCCTCATTCAGGTTTCCTGGTAATTATTGCAGTGTGTTTTGCCCTGGCACTATTAATAGAAGCAGGAAGAGCATTACATTCAATCCTTTCTCACAGGGCAAACTTAAGCCCACTTGTTTATGCAAAAACTAGCAGAAATGTTGCAGAGACCACACCGTTACTTCGTTCACTTATTATTCCCACCAATGTTGACCAGATTGTAAAAAGAAAGTAAGAAAAATAGTGTTTATGTATTTTAGACTTTTACATAGCACTGTCTAACATCTATAGCAGATCATTCAGTGTCGTATTTCAACCCTAACACATAGTAGAATATCCACAGATAAAATTTCATTGAAGTGGAATAAGTGATTGCCCTTTAACCAGTGCTTTTAAAATGATTTTCCAACAGTTTTGATCATCACAATTTTTTATTTTTTTTGCTTTTGCTTGCTTTGATAATTTTTATTACTTGGTTTATGGATAATATTCAGGCAAATTTATTCCTTGATTGATGTTTTAAAGGGTAAATGAAAGTCCATAAACTTGAGTAACTGATTTTCAAAGCCGTGATTGTTTAGCCTACAAAGCTTCTCACTTCCTCTGTTGTTTGCATCTTATTTTTCAACTTATTCCTATCACATTCATTTTATGGCATTTTATTATTAGAGGGGTTTCATTGGCTGTGTTTATTTGTAACTCTCCAAACTGTCAAGGCATCCAACTTCAATGGAACCGATTGTATGGTGAGGTTTAAATCCAGTGATGCTTGTATCTGTCCAGGGCCCTTCAAAAGAGAGGAAAGACCTCGCCAATATCATAATTCCCTGATGACACAAAATGCTGTTATGAATACCTGAATAGATATACCACTGTTTTTTTTTATTCAAAATAAGTATGGGAAATTACTTTCAGAAAAAAAGTATGCTGATGGATAAGCCTTACAGTAGATTCTACTCTGTCTCTCATTAGGTTTTTTCTTTTTTTTAATTGTTGCTATCTTTAAAGGTTTTGTAGGCACCATCTTCATTTTCTTCTTTGCTGCCATGATGTTGGAGGGAATTATGGGAATGTTGGCTAGTCTTAGAGATAGGAGTAAGGTGTTACCAGCATCTGTCAAAGAAAGGTTGCTTGAACCCATCAGTGAAAATTCTCCTCTCATTGGCAAAAGCAAGTCCTTAACTGAATCTGGGGAAAAACTTATTAAACAGAAAAAGTAAGGAACTATCCTGGACCCGTGCTTTATTAATTGTTTTGAAAACCTCACACTTACAAACATTAACCCTTATCCTATTTTCCACCCTGCTCTCGTAGCTGACAATTGACTCTTGGCTGATTTACACAGCTTGAGTTAATTGTCAGTTTTAACTTTACATCTGACTATTGATTGGGACGTCTTGATAGTCCGAAGGTTCTTTGGTCCAAAAAATCATCACATTTTCATCAATTTTTTTTCAAGGGTTCATTGGTCTGAAGGTTCTTTCTATAGTGAACATTTGGACCAATGAACCTTTTGACTATTGAACTTTTGGACTATTGCTACGACCCCCTTTTGATACTTTAACTCTGAAAGTCCTTATTTTAGATGCACAAATCTTTTTGGTTTATAGTTTCTTTTTTGAAGTACTACTTGACCTTTGCTAACAGCAGCATGTGATATTTTTTTCATTTGATAAAGATGACTTCACATTTGCTTATTATGCTGGTTTACCATCGATTTGATGATTAATAACAATTTGATGCATAAACTAAAATTAAACTTATGTCACCCAGCAACAAAACTATCTAATAGGAATAGCATCCCTCTCTATAGCAACATAGCTATAATGCAAAATGGTAAGGTGAAAATATTTATATTGTATGTAACGCTTGTGGCGTTAGGTAACTGTAATGTTGTTACCCTACAAAGATTTTTAAAAGTTTCTTGGCATGCTCACTTCAAAAATAATTGTCATTGTAAAAGTTAAATGTTCCTTTGTTTTCAAAAATGAATTTTTAAATAATTTAGGAACAGTGTGGCATTTAAAGAACTGCACTGTGGTACTGACAAAATTTTGTTTGACAGAAATTATTGCATAAGATAAAAGTCATACATGTGCTGGGTATATTTGAAATTATTGGATAATTTAAACTTCACTTAAGAATTCATATTTGTATGTAACGTGAATTTTCAATCACATTTGGTACATGATATTAAAACAGTGGTGCATTGGTTACTTCAGGATAAAGTATCATATTGGGATGTCCTTGCTGCATGTGGCCAAAGTGGTGGTAGCCTATGTGGTCATGCTGGCGGTCATGTCTTATAATGCATGGGTGTTTGTTACTGTGGTCATAGGTAAGTGGACAAGACTCGGACAGCGGCTTCGATGTCTGGCAGGCCTACTGAAGCTGCTAAACAATAATTACCCACTATCAGCTTCAGTGAGCATGACAGACATCTAAGCGGCTTAAGTTAATAGCAGTTTAGCGAGAATCTCTATGGAGAAAAATCGATCCATAGTTAGCTAGTATGTAAGGGTCTGAGAATGGTTCAAGGATGCTGTTTGGAAGACCGATTTATTATTTGTTTTTATGATTGCATAAATTTTGTTTTACAAACTGATTGAAGCAGTCTGTGATCTCTTTCTTGTTAATATGCCATTCTCTGTCAAATATTTTTGTGAAGACAAGAAAATATTACATAGTTACTGTGTCAACTTACATGGTGTTTGTCAATATTTCAGGCAGTGCTTTGGGATACTTGATTTTTGGAGCCATTCAGCATAAGATCACCACTGCTGATACGCCTGACACTCACGTAATAAATAACCAGGATGACATGCTAGGCACGCACTCACAGACTAGCTATGAGCCTATTGGTTAACTCTAACAACATCAAGAACGAATAAAAAACTGAAGATGACTGTGATTATTTCTGGGACGTGAAAATTGCTTGAGGACAAGACGGACATTTTAGTTGTTCATGGGGGATTGTGAGGATATTTTAATTATGTTTGGATGGCAATCATGCTCCGTAATATTTATTATAAAGAACATAAACACATACAATTATATGCATGCCCACACCAACTTGACATTTAGTGCTATTGCAAGGTCACAAGCAGTAAAAAATAGTGACTTAGATATGAAATAAATAAAGAGGGAAAGAGAATAGAATAGAAGCAAGAGTAGACATCAGCAAAATATTGTAAATATTTTTATACAGTGCAATAATGGTTTTTTTTACTCTGGGTAAATATGCAGGGTTGTTTGTGAAGAATGTGACAAAGTAAATGTAAGAGCAAACAATGTTAAGCTAAATCAAGGCCTTTAAAATGTGAAATGATGAGAAAAAGGGAAAACTGGGTGATAGACTGAATTGATGAAGTTAATTAAAATTCAGTAGTCTGTGTATACTACAAGGACAGTAGCAAACAAGACTTGGGCTTTCATTTGGTATATAGTGTGGTTGTGTATTTAATAAATATCAGAAAATGATTGGCTCAACTCCAATGTTAAGAGATAATTGACGTGATAATGGTCTCTTTGTTATATGTTTTTAAGCATATAACAAAGAGAATATCATAGCATTGCAAGAATATCATAGCATTGCAAATCAGGAGTTATAGGAAGAAATGATTACTCACCATTAACCACTGATTATTGTCTCTAACTTATTGACATAGTGATATAATGCTTTTAATACATGTGCCTGGCAGTCTTTCTTTACTTGGGTAATTTTTAAAATATTTTCATGTCTTAAAATATATAATCAAATAAATTTTTTGCAAACAAAGTGTGTGCAGCTAATTGTTTTAGTCATATAAATATAACTTAAAGGCAACAAGTCGGCTTTCACATTAATTTTTTTTGCATGTGTATTAGATAATTTTAATAGGAAGTAGTTTCATTTGCTGGTCATTGATATAGGCTTTTTCGGTATCGTACTAGGTAAATATGAGATCTTTAATCATATATTTCACTTAATGCTTGTTCCTGTACCTGAAACTTTTAATGTTAGTCTTTCAGTTGCACTTCTTTTCTGTGAAATTTGGAGATAATAGCATGATTTATCTAGAAATCCTTATTCACCCCCACACAAGTTGTGCACTTTTGGTGTTTGAAAATTGGTATCACATTTTAAAGGTCCACTTACATCTCTGAAAATTGCACTGAACTACCTTAAAGGTGACATGCCTTAGACAGCTTAAAACCAAAAAATTAATTAAATTTCTATTTTAAGTCATGCTGCCATGTCAACTCTCAGATAAGGGATATCAATTCCTTGTAAGCAGCAAACAGCTTTAATCCAGACATAAGCCCCCTTTTTAAAAAAATTTCTGAACATTTAATTTGAGACCAAATGCTTAATGTACTGAGGAACTAAATCAGGGTTTGCCTCACGGCACAACAGAATTGAATCCGAAATTCTAGGATTCCACAAAAAAAAAAAAAAAAAAATCTGTGCATCCTATATAAGTGATAGAATCCTAGTAAAAAAAATCTAGAAGGAGTGTAATGCAACTCCATCTGTATATACAAAACAAGTCGGTTTCTTAAGCTTTTTATTACACACTGACAAGATTCATACAAAAGATAATTTATAAGCTTTAATACAAGTTGTGATATAAGGCAACTATTACACCATTATCATGTAGTGCACCTTAAACAGTGTACTTCTTGATCACATTACTATGTACAATATATTCTACACATTATCAATGGCACTGTACATACAACTGGAGCTGCTAGAAAGTAGGACAAACTAATGCAGAATAACTTCACAACATAAAAGGCAGCAAAGCTGTCAAATGGACAGATATGCAAATGACAAAAGTGATAACTGGTGGCATTAAAACGGTCCAAAAATGAACCAATTTAGCAAAGAAACTGCAGTTACTGTAGTTTTTGACCAATTTTAATGCAAAATTACATGATGCTAATAGTACAAACACTACCAATTTTTAATTGTACGTTAAAGATGTTGTGGACATTCAGAAAAAAATAACTACTTCAATATTAGTTTTTACTTTATGGTGTTTATGGACACAATAAGCCAATAAAACTTGCAGTAATGACAGAGACAAGTGAAGGCAATGTCCAGATACATAGCATATGTCCATCAAATTGGAAAAGATTCTAACATTGCGGTTACATAAATTGATTCAATTTATCAATTTACAAAAATTAACTAGAGGATCAGAGAGGCGATACCGCCTCCAGATATTGTACCACCAGCTGGAGTAAGCGCATTCGTATGGCCCCCCCCCTCCTAAAAGGGACACCATCACCAGTCTGGTGTTTGACAAGCTCTATAAGATGCAATCAACAAGAGTTCTCAAAATATGCAAAAAATATAACTAAAAATGATACAATCAAGCAGATTTTCAAATTGACTTGCATTTTCCTACCCTTGCTCACTACTGTATTCTCTAGACAAAAGGCCTATTGGTTTTCCTTGAAATGTGTTGTCAATGGTGCATATATGCTGACAAAAGAGAAAACCTAGGGGAAACAATGGGCACATCTCTGCTAGATTTAAAGATATGAGAGGCAAGAAAATATGCAAAGCTCAGTTCATGGTGAAAAAGTAGGTCAAAGGTCAATTTCAATATCATAGTATATGAATTTCTATTCAAGTTCAATAGCAACCATGGACATTTCTTTGCCAATTTTGCAGATTTAAAGGCCAGAAAACATGCAAAAAGCAGTTCATCATAAAAAGTAGGTCAAAGGTCAATTTCAAGGTCACAGATTGCTAGTGTATTACTTCCTATTCAAGTTCAATAGTAACTATGGACCTATCTGTCAGTTTTGAAGATAAAGGTGAACGAAAATTTGCTAAGTTCAGTTCATAGTAAAAGGAAGGTCAAAGGTCAATTTAAAGGTCACAGTAAATTGCCAGTTCATGACTTCCTATTTAAGTTCAATAGTAACTATGGACCTATCTCTGCCAGTTTTGGAGATTAAAGGGAACAAAAATTGGCAAAGTTCAATTCATGGTGAAAAGTAGGTCAAAGGTCAATTTTAAGGTCACTGTTAAATTGCCAGTATGTGACTTCCTATTCAAGTTCAATAGTAACTATTGACCTATCTCTGCCAGTTTTGGAGATAAAAGGGAACAAAAATTTGCAAAGTTCAGTTCATGGTGAAAAGTAGGTCAAAGGTCAATTTCAAGCTCACATCTAGATTGCAAGTAAATGACTTCCTATTCAACTTAAATAATAACTATTGACCTATCTCTGCCAGTTTTGGAGATATAAGGGACTAAATGTTACAATTCTGAGTTACAAAAATGTGCCACCACAAAGTACTTTTTAATACAGCATAACACGAAAACCGTATGAAATACAAAAAAACGGAGACCACTCTCAGTGTTGGGCTTTACATGCTCTACAAAATGCAAAAAAGAACGGGTCGCTAGCATTAACGGTTCCCGAATTAGAGACAGTTTTCATTTTCGGTATTTTATGGCCGCTACTCCTGTGAAAATGCACCGATTGACCCCAAATTCACAGAGATGAAAGATGACCCAAAGGGTAACACTTTCCAATATAATTATTGGTTAAGTCTGTGTAGTGTCTGAATAACAGTGCAAATAATATTTTTTTTCGTAAAAAATTTCATTTTTTTGAAAATTTTGGCCCGTTTGACCTTGAAATAAAGGTCAAAGGTCAAATCCAAGGGCATATTTGAAATCTACACATATGACTTTTGGAAAGCCGTCTGTAGAAAATTTTCCCATAATTCCTTCCGTAGGGTAGATAATTGGCATTGAATTTTCAAAAATTTTGACAAGGGTGCATTTCAAGGAGCGTCACGCCCAGGTCAATGTACCGACTGAGACAAAAAAACCTGGGGGTTCAAGTTGAGGTTATATGTGACCTAAATCCAAGAGATGGGGACAGGGGTCCTTGCGGTCTAGGAGGAGAAGCGGTAACGGTGACTTGTATCCGGCGCCAGTACGCGGAGCCGGCGGAGCTTACGGAGCCGGCGGAGCCAACGGAGCCGGCGGAGCCGGACGAGACGGGTCGGGACTAAAACCATGAGTACCGCCAGCGTACACGCTGGTGGTACTAATAAATAAAATATTGAAGGCATTAAGTCTGTTACATACAATTAATCGAAAATGTTTTTATTAAAACCTGCATAAAGATAAAGATTAGATGCATCAGATTAAGAGTGAAATGACAAATATCAATTAATCTGTCAAATGTCAATGATACTTAATGATACAAAGGTGAAATACCTTGAAATCTACCAAACTTAAACATCCACTATTACCAATCTGGAAAATTACCTACCAAATATCATCTGGGCAACTCATAATCATTCCTTTACACATTATGAGTTGCTTTGGAGGCAAGACAATAAAATGCTTCCACGGTTGTTGCTGTTCAGATAATTCAAAGTTTTACAGATTCTCAGATTTCCAGTAAATTCTTATCAAACCCAATTTCCATCCCTGGGTTTATGTGGGGGACCTATGAACATGACCTTGTATGTACCTTTCAATATGAAAAATGCTTTAATCTTATGCATCATACAGATCTAGATGCATTAAATATGTTTAGTACCAGACTAACACGAGAATTACTTTCAATAAAACTTATGTGTAAATTCACTGTCATTCTAGCAAAAATCTTCAGGATGCAATTTCATACAGGACTAAATTATAAATTATTTCAGTCACGAAAGTGAATGGGTACTTCTCTGCTATTTCCATTGCCTAGCAGACTGTACAATTTGAGATTCACTGGACTCAAGCCACGTAGACAACACCATTCAAATGTTTCTAAGGAATTTGCTCCCAAGAAAAATTTAGAAACATACATAAAAACACTTAGGATTCCTTTTTAAAATAATTTCCACAATCACGTATTTACAGAAAAGGTGAATTTGGTCCCCATATTAAAGCAAATGAATTAAAACAAAGAATAAATAAGATGTGAAATGTCCTCTGTAATATTCAAAGATGTGTCATAACAATGGTTATTTAAAGGTCATTTTTAGCCGTGTTCAAGATAGACTAAGGAAGACATGGTTGAAGTCTAGATAACCAGCTAAATATTCTCAATAAATTCTAATTTTAGCATTGAATCAATGGAAAAAAGAATATTAATGGTGAAATTTAAGTCAACATCTTTTAAAATAAATCAATATTCAACCAGTGGTGAATATTACTATACATATACCAGTTTGGATCCAGCCGAACAATGGTCTGGCATCAAGAATGGCCATTTTAGAGTTGAGAAGCTGCTGAGAGGATGCTATCTCCTTTGATAAGTTCCGTTAACAGACTGAATGTTGGGATTGTTCCTGCCATGTGCTTCCTGACCAGTTGTTCTTTGGCTATGACTGCTGTCTGCGTGAGCTCTCCAATGCGCAGAAGAAGTTCGCCAAATTTCGTTGGCATTTCTGGGAAGTGTGTAGAGGTGTAAGTGAGGAGAGCCTCGTTGATGTGGTCTTGATATTCACGGATGCTGGTTGGATTCTTCAAACCATCAATATCTGAAACAAAGTAAAGTTTAAAACATTTATAAATACTATAATAATAAATACTATAACATATATAAAAAATTCCTTTTGATACGACATTGCGAACCAGCAAAACGTATGGCTGCTAAAAATAATGAACCTTGTATTCATTCTGAACTACGTCTATTTTAACTATAGCGTTTTGTTGCAAACAACAGTTGAAAACAGAGCATTTTCTATTTACATGTTAATTATTATAAAAAGTTTCTGTGAAGAGTATTAAGTAAAACTTGTTTTCCTCACTATCTACTATTTAAGAACTTTTGATAGCGGCATAAACTAAACACAAATATCGATGTAATATATAGCAGTTTATTTAAGTGCATTTGAGAACCTAACAAAGGAAGAACTGGACAATGGTGACCAACTATTGCTAAAAACATACCAACTAAAAAGATGCACTCCACCTACCTGGTGATATTAACACTAGCACCTTGAAGCAGGCATACTCATGCTTATCCACTTTTAACCTGCGCAGGTGCTGAGTTAAGTTCAAAAGACGTGTAAACGTCTCCTCTACTTCAATGGCCCGCGCCATCTCTAGGGTCATCAGCTTGCCGTTGGACAACAGAAGCTGGTTCTGGACGCCAATGGACCGCCAGCAGCAGCCCACCAGGAGCAGCTCCGACCATGCATTCTGTAGCATCAAGATCTGATCATCGGTCTGAAAACACAAACTTGGAGATTATTTTTCTATATTTTTCAAGTGCTACCCTGAGACATGATTTTGATATAGGAAAAAATGGCTTCTTAACCTTATGGGAGGCCACATATGATATTGAAGAAAAAAATGGATTTCTGTTGAAAAAAAAAAGTGATGAAAAAAAGTTGAAAAAGTGTGCTGAATGCACAGGTGCTTTTAAAAAAGCATCTTATAACATGTAAGCAAGGAACTGTTTTATTTTTCCTTGTAGATGATGTGCAAATCAAGAAAATTATTTAGAATGTAAATCCTGACTTTTTTACCTAATAAAGTCAAGATATTTCATCAGTGAATTCAATACAGTTCACTATTATACTCAAGATATTTCATCAGTGAATTCAGTACAGTTCACTATTATACAGGTAACTTTGTGAACATAAATACTGGTCAATGACCATAAACAAATAAACTTGTCAAAAACTATCCCACAAGCTTACTTACATATATACATTAAAAAAACTCATATAACTCCAAGGAATATATTATACCTCTATTCCAGCAAAATCGGGGAGATTCCTTGCCCATCGCACTATTTTATACAACCTGTGGTCAGCTAGGTGAAGTAGGGAGTTGTACTGGTCTCTATCTGAGGCAGTCATCCTATCCTGACAACATGCGGCCACAGGTTCCTCGTCAGACAGTAGGGACTCCACATTCATGATCTCAGTCACTATGGAGGGGAGCACGGGGACCACAGCACTGGGAGACTTGAGAGTGGAGCCCAAGGGACGATTTAAGATGGCCACCAAGCTCGGGTTGGCACTGGCTGTTTGTGCATTGGGGGGCGTCCGTAAAGGCGTCAGTTGGAGATTTGACGGTGATGAAGTGAGACTTCCGGGTGAACTGTACGAGCTTCTGCCTCCTCTAGTACGATCTACTCGTATGGCTGGGGATGGAAAATAAAGTTATCAGATTAATCATGACGTAAAAAAACAAAAAGTGTCTCTTTACGTTTCAAAGCAAGAACCTGCAAAGAAAACCTGATCAACTTATTGACTAGTTATCATCGCAATTAACTAGTTATTACTGAAACTTTATACTTTACTGACATAACCATGGGTTCCTTTAATATCTGCAGTGACAGAGCTATCAAAATGTCCTGTAATCCAAATGCCTTAATGAGAAAATGTTTCATAAAATTAAACCCAGAAGTAGATGCTATTTCATTTCAAACCTGTGAAAATTGGTTACCAAGGTCATGCTATGGAACCTACATAACTGCATTATAAAGGCCACTGCCATTTAGCTGCAGTGTAATTTTATCATAACAGGTTTTGAGCAGCTACCAGCACAATATACTTATTTACCCTCATTTTACTTTCCCACATATCATGTATACACATATAAGTGAATATTAACTGTTATCGTTGTTCACACACATAGTTCTTGAGGCAGATGTCAATTTTATAAAATTCTTGGATATATCCAAACATCTCGATACAAATCTTTAAGATTAGTTGTTGTTTAAATGCTCTGATTTTTTAAATTTAAAATAAAAATGTCCTTTTTTATACATAATACTACAGACTAACTTACAAATTCCATATCCATATATTTTTTTCCATTTAAATTTTTTTGACAAATTTCAAAACATGTAACATTTTAACTTTTATTTATGAATCAACTATCTTCATCTAATCTTTCACACAAGTACTGAAATATTTTACTTCCTCTCCATACCTTCCAGCCTCATGCCGCCCTCCAGACATTTCTTAAACCTGCAAGACGGACACTTTTTTCTGTTCATCACATTGACATCGCAGTCCCCATTCCGATGACAAGAAAAATCCTTCTTGTTCTGCACCGTCCTCTTGAAGAAACCTTTGCAACTTTCACATGTATAAATACCGTAGTGGAACCCTAGAACAACAAGAGTTATTGCAATCAAATAAGTTGATGGTACACACTTTACTTCTGTATAACAGCAACTGTCTAACAAACATGGCATATATCATCCTAAAGGCTTAAATTTTCTGTCAAAGTAGTAAACAGTAGTAAAAGTACATGTGTAGCAGTATTTGCATAAACTAGTTCCATCTGATTCCTTCTTTAAGAGAAAATATTGTAGAAATGTGCAGTTAATTTGTAGAACCCAATGTAGCACAGCAAACAATGACAAGAAAACAATCTTTTTCCCATAGGTCCACTCTACACACCTGAAACTCTGTCCCCGCAAATAGGACATGGTCCTTTGTCTGCATATTTCTCTAACATAGCTGCCATTGTGGATTGCTGCGGAGACTGAGCTGTAGCAGGGGATGAACTGTTAATGATATGGGAGGCCACGTTGGACAATTCAATGATTCTCATTTTGCTAGGAGTTCCATCCTGGTTAATTGTATACATTGCTCTCTTCCTCGACCCATCTTCATAACCTGCCATGTCAACTATCGTCTCCGTGGTGGCCACAGGAATGTCACCTCCGGACAGCTGTTGTTCCTCCTGGGAGTTGGCTATCAGTATAATCGGCGCCTCGGTCTGGTTTTCACTCTCGCCTTGACTCTTAGCATGGTGGTTTGCAATAGCTGCCAAAACTTTACCAACATCAAAATCCCCCTGAACGTTAATAATCTGTTGCCTGGCCACCCCTGCCTGGGTGTCGCCACTGTCACCATTAGGTTCCACTCTGATCACCAGTCTCTGTCCACTCTTTTGTTCCAACACAATCCTGGTCTGATTGTCACCATCTTGGGTCTCAACCACTTGCTCCGCGACCTCATCAACCCCATTGTTCTCATGCCTGTCCATCACGATCACCTCCTCCTGTCCCTCTGGGCCGTGATCGAGGTACACCACCCGTTCATGGATCCCGTCTTCGTGGCCTCCCTCCTCTACTATTTGCTCCTGAACTCCACCTTCGACTCCCACCTCGTGGCTGGCTGTCTCCAGGAGATCTGAGGAAGCCACCATGTATCCTCCCCCTGGGTCTGAGGACAGGTTGCCTGCTGCTGTTGTTATGACGGTATCTGTGTGGTTTATGTGATGGTTTGTAGATGTGGCTAGCTTTTCTGTCACTGCCTGTAGCAACACAGGGGATATGCCAACATCTGTGTCTTCACTCATATTGAAAATCTGTAAATAGAAACCATTGAAGTATGCAGTTTATTGAAAAGGGTATTTGTATTTTATATTATGTATGCCTTGGCAATCACACTTTAACTCAGTCTCTCTACAAAACCACCCATTTAGTTTACAAACCAAAACAATGGTATATTTTAATTAATAAAATTAAACAAATGCTGCTGAAGCACAAGGAAATTTAACAAATTACTGCAAAAATCACATTTTCGATGACACAATCACCATCCTCACTTGACAGGGATTTTATTATTATTATTTTTTTTTTTTAGGAAACTTCAAACAGCAGAATGATCGAGTTACACATAATTATAAACTGCTCCCCTTTTTTAAATTCCCGTTTAAATCATAAGATGTACTCTTTTCGGGCCAGGTAATAATAAATACATCCAATAAAATTGATTAAATAGCATGCCGTTAATGATTGAAGAGTTAAAGAAACTTCCAAATAAATTCTGCTGTCAAACTGTAAACACGAACTGCACTATCCTGTCAACCCTAAATAGGTCAAGGACAGCCATCTTGAAAACGTAGAATTTTAGGCGGTAAACCAAATCTCCGACTTCATCCCAAACCTTGTTTTCCCCCATTCGTGCCCAAAATGTATAAATCTTCATTCCATATTTAAGTCAACAAGATCCAACCAGACGTTTAATTGTACTGAAAACTTTTTAGATTTCTGTCTGCAAAACGGCGACTATGTCAAGGTCACCATAAGGCACGCTGTACTCTTTTTCAAACGAAATGTATGATTTGAAACTGTTCTGTGAATCAGTAAGCATAATGTCGACTTAATATTTCTACGCTGGTAATAGACAGCAACTTACTTTTGATNTAAAGGCTTAAATTTTCTGTCAAAGTAGTAAACAGTAGTAAAAGTACATGTGTAGCAGTATTTGCATAAACTAGTTCCATCTGATTCCTTCTTTAAGAGAAAATATTGTAGAAATGTGCAGTTAATTTGTAGAACCCAATGTAGCACAGCAAACAATGACAAGAAAACAATCTTTTTCCCATAGGTCCACTCTACACACCTGAAACTCTGTCCCCGCAAATAGGACATGGTCCTTTGTCTGCATATTTCTCTAACATAGCTGCCATTGTGGATTGCTGCGGAGACTGAGCTGTAGCAGGGGATGAACTGTTAATGATATGGGAGGCCACGTTGGACAATTCAATGATTCTCATTTTGCTAGGAGTTCCATCCTGGTTAATTGTATACATTGCTCTCTTCCTCGACCCATCTTCATAACCTGCCATGTCAACTATCGTCTCCGTGGTGGCCACAGGAATGTCACCTCCGGACAGCTGTTGTTCCTCCTGGGAGTTGGCTATCAGTATAATCGGCGCCTCGGTCTGGTTTTCACTCTCGCCTTGACTCTTAGCATGGTGGTTTGCAATAGCTGCCAAAACTTTACCAACATCAAAATCCCCCTGAACGTTAATAATCTGTTGCCTGGCCACCCCTGCCTGGGTGTCGCCACTGTCACCATTAGGTTCCACTCTGATCACCAGTCTCTGTCCACTCTTTTGTTCCAACACAATCCTGGTCTGATTGTCACCATCTTGGGTCTCAACCACTTGCTCCGCGACCTCATCAACCCCATTGTTCTCATGCCTGTCCATCACGATCACCTCCTCCTGTCCCTCTGGGCCGTGATCGAGGTACACCACCCGTTCATGGATCCCGTCTTCGTGGCCTCCCTCCTCTACTATTTGCTCCTGAACTCCACCTTCGACTCCCACCTCGTGGCTGGCTGTCTCCAGGAGATCTGAGGAAGCCACCATGTATCCTCCCCCTGGGTCTGAGGACAGGTTGCCTGCTGCTGTTGTTATGACGGTATCTGTGTGGTTTATGTGATGGTTTGTAGATGTGGCTAGCTTTTCTGTCACTGCCTGTAGCAACACAGGGGATATGCCAACATCTGTGTCTTCACTCATATTGAAAATCTGTAAATAGAAACCATTGAAGTATGCAGTTTATTGAAAAGGGTATTTGTATTTTATATTATGTATGCCTTGGCAATCACACTTTAACTCAGTCTCTCTACAAAACCACCCATTCAGTTCACAAACCAAAACAATGGTATATTTTAATTAATAAAATTAAACAAATGCTGCTGAAGCACAAGGAAATTTAACAAATTACTGCAAAAATCACATTTTCGATGACACAATCACCATCCTCACTTGACAGGGATTTTATTATTATTATTTTTTTTTTTTAGGAAACTTCAAACAGCAGAATGATCGAGTTACACATAATTATAAACTGCTCCCCTTTTTTAAATTCCCGTTTAAATCATAAGATGTACTCTTTTCGGGCCAGGTAATAATAAATACATCCAATAAAATTGATTAAATAGCATGCCGTTAATGATTGAAGAGTTAAAGAAACTTCCAAATAAATTCTGCTGTCAAACTGTAAACACGAACTGCACTATCCTGTCAACCCTAAATAGGTCAAGGACAGCCATCTTGAAAACGTAGAATTTTAGGCGGTAAACCAAATCTCCGACTTCATCCCAAACCTTGTTTTCCCCCATTCGTGCCCAAAATGTATAAATCTTCATTCCATATTTAAGTCAACAAGATCCAACCAGACGTTTAATTGTACTGAAAACTTTTTAGATTTCTGTCTGCAAAACGGCGACTATGTCAAGGTCACCATAAGGCACGCTGTACTCTTTTTCAAACGAAATGTATGATTTGAAACTGTTCTGTGAATCAGTAAGCATAATGTCGACTTAATATTTCTACGCTGGTAATAGACAGCAACTTACTTTTGATCTATGCTGATCAGCTATCTATAAATCTACAGATGTTGTAGCGGGCAAAATGCTGTTGACAACTCGACGTCCATGACCTTGTTGAAACACAAAGAACCACCATAATGCCCGAAAGGATACAATACTAAAGGAAAGATAAAATTACACATAATTTGCATTTTAAAAAGCAAAAAATCGTTTGCTCTTCTTACAATATGAACTATTTACCTTATCAGCAGTTAATGCGAACCCTTGCGAATATTTATTTGCATTTATTTTATATATCAAACTTCAGTTCTCCTTACTAGCTCCTTACAAGTCGCAGTAAAAGTTTGACCTTAACATAAGAGAAATAAGTGAACAATAATAAAAACGTATACATTACACCCTGGTATCATATTTAAATAAGTAATGTATATGTCAATGATAAATTTCAGTTAATTCCATTTATTCATTTATTTTCCGAAAAAATAAAACTGCGGACTGAAATGACTCACTTCCGGTGTAAACATGAAAGTGAAGTGGAAAAGCTTGCATGGGTGTCTTTGGCTCGTTATCCAAATTGCCTTTTCTCAGGAACTAACGTGTACCAGTACAGACAGCTGCTCATGTACACTATCTGATGGACATGGTAAAATTGACTTAAAGAAATTGAATGAAACTGTTTCAAACAGGGTTAAGTTGCCGGTGTTTTGGTTCAGTCCATGTCATTCAATCTCTGTTGTTAACTCAAGTGGTAATTGTAGTAATGTCAATCTTTGTATGCAAGATAAAAATGAGCATTACCGCTGTCTTGGAGCCAGCAAGCCAGAATTTCATGTCGAGGAGAGAAATGGAGTAAGATCATTATTCCTGAAGTATGTCACAAATAATGGTAAGTCAGTGTAGAGCATGAATTACAGTAATTTTTAATATCGATTAAATATTTCAAGATGAAACAGAACTGGTTTAACCGTTTTTTTTTTTCAAATGCTGCCACCTTCAACTTCAATACTTGCACTGACTTCTGCATTTCAAAACTGTACGTTGATGTTTGACAGGTGGCAAATTTCTTTAGGAAGTAATGAATTAGATAATCTTGCTAAATTATTTCATGGCAAATATCTTTTAAAATTATCAAAAAGATTTCCTTTTCCTGGATGTAAATTCATCAAGAAGTTTTTCATGTACTAAACATGGTTCAAAATATTTGTTCATTTAATATGGAAATTTATTTCCATCTTAAACATGTTCGCTTCCTACTTTTTCTTTTAGGTGCTCACACATTTAGCCGAGTGTACCTGCAGTGTTCACCAGATGTGCCTGATGCAATATTAACAGGAAACATGGTGAACACATCTTTCTATAATCTCACACTACACTCCCAGCATTGCTGTCCACTTAAAGCACAAGATACACTCAGCACAGGCAGCATTCTCTTGATAGTGTTTTTCACTACTGTGACTTCCTATTTTGTTGTTGGTGAGTAGGTTATGTTTTGTGTCTGTGTGTGTGTTTGGGTTTTAAGTGCAATCATTAGTGTAATTTAGTGACTTTATATTTGAAATATTTCATTTTAGATGAAATTTTTGAAAGAATTATGTCAAATTTTAGTCTTCAAGTGAAATACATATCCCATCAATACAATTTGTGAGATGAAATGAAATGTTATAAACAGACTTGTCAAATATTTCTTCTGCTTGAACAATGAACTAAGTTGACATGTATTATAACAATTATAATCTTCCCCTTCGTTCCCAGGTGTGTTATACAATAAGACAGTGTATGCTGCCAGTGGGACGGCACTTATCCCTCACTACCAATTCTGGTCTGATTTGCCAGGACTTATAAAGGATGGGTATCTCTTTTTTATCAGCCCATGCCTTGGAGACAGTGTGGAATACAAGTATTATCAGAGACTTTAGTACTTACTCTTTTTTTTTTGTTAAATGGTTAACAAGATTCCACCTTCTCAAAAATGTTATTACTAGTAAGCAGTTTTACTACCTATGGTCACAGTTTTGTAAGAAACTTTAGCAGTATTTTTTTTTAAATAGTGAACAAGAGAAGCTACCTTCTCAAAAATGTTACTAGTAAGCAGGTTTACAACATGTGGTCACATTTTTGTAAGAGATTGGTGCTCAGAACACAACAAAAGCAGGGTGTAGGTAAAACTACCACATCTACTTCTGTGGCAAATGTCATGTTAAATCCATTCATTTTATTTCATTTGTAAATAGAAATATTGTGAGTGGATCTGATATGGAACTTACCATTGTCTTTTTATTTTTGAATTTTAATGACTAAATTACCTCTACTTTTTAAATGGTAGAAAAAGGAATGTTACCCTCTAGAATAATTCTTGAGCCAAGTAAAGAATGTTGATAGGTCTCAATTTTTTTTTTTACCTTGAAATATCCCCCTCAGGCAGTGGCTACTCCATGATAGCCAAATACATTGTATTTTTACAGGCAAAGTCAGTTGATTTACTCTTTAAATGTATTGTTTGATATCTAGTCTTTTAAATACATTGCAAATGGTCACATATTATCATTTTATAATGAACAGTTTTGTAACAAAAGGGCAAGTTGCATGTTAATATGAAAATATGTACCTACTATTTACTTGTTTTAAATTATTTTCTACAGTATATTGACATTTTTACATTGTGAGTTTTTTTTTCTTTTCCTTATATATTTCCTTATCTTATAGAAGAGATGTAGAGCGCTATTTGAGAGCCGAGTTTGGTTTATTTTGATCTCAGTATCGCATCCCACCATGCTTTTTAGGCAACTGATTTCCATGTTTTCCAAGATACGTGTATGCAGTCATTCAGATGTTTTTGATTGTTTGTTTGAAGTTATATTTCAAGTCAAAGTTACTGACTTAGTCCCATTTTTTGGAAATTTTTATGTTTTTAGATTTTTTTTAATGTTATGCCTCAAAAACCCTTATAAGCATAGGTAATGTGATAAATAATAAATGTTTTGTAAGCACAAAATTACAATGTGTCTTATTATTTTTTAATCTTCCTTAATTTAATTTCTGTCCACAAGGTTAATAACTCAACAAGAGATAGTATCACAATTTTCTCCTTTTATTCAGAAATGGGCTTACCCATATTGATAAAAGCATAAAGATGTGTACAAAACTTCTCCACAGATTCAAATAAAAGAGCTGTGTGCATGGTTTTATAACTAACTTCAATCAAATTCAACACTTAAAAACCCATTTAAGGCGTTTTGAGTTACAGCATTTAGATTAGAGGAACACTTATACTCAGACAAAGAAACACAGCATAGCATACATTGTTGCTCCTTTCTAAATAATTCTATCCTTTATATAGACATTCACTGAGGGCAATGAAAACAGAGTGATGATCTATTTTCCATTTCAAACATGTCTGATTTGAATATTCCTCTTGTTACCAAAAGCTACCTTACCCATCTTAAAACATAGCTAGTATTCTAGTTCTGCTCAGAGATAGTTGTGCATTCACAATATGCAGTTATAGATACATACCGGTAGAGCCACTAGAACCTTATGTTGCATAAAGTTTTTCAGTCTTACATTGTGCAGCTCTTCCCCGTTTGAGGAACATTTTCATTAAAAAAAAAAGATCAAGCATGTCAAAGGATGAAATCTTAATCTTTAATACACAATATATGTTAAAACAGAGATTGACAACAGTTGACTTTGTTACAGAGAATACTAACCTTTCACATATTTATTGAACTAACAAGCTACATCCTTTAGTAGTATAAGAGAAGCTTTTTTGAGCAGCTTCAGTATTACACTTATTTCTTACAGAAATATGTAGTTCAATGCTTATTTTTGCACTGGTATGCTTTAGAGCATGACAGAATCCCATTGTTTTTATTTAATTCAACTTATTCCATATATCTCACCAAATTAATATTTAAAAATTCAAGTCAAATTAAAATATGGTCACTTTACAATTGTTAACAGTTTTCTCATTTTGGCTCTCATAAGGACCAAAAGCCAAAATACTGATCATGAGTTGAAACTATTCAAATGAATTTAAAATAGGGCATAAAATCTTAAACTGAAAGATAAAATCAAAGCTCTGATGCTTGGTGGTTGTGATGGACTTTTAGAGTTTAAAAATGTGGTTGAAAACAAATGCAATGCTGCATATTGCACCTTTCTCAAAAATACATTTACATACTGACCCAATATATTGTACATAAGACTCATTATTTATACATGCTTTCTTTTTAAAATATTATCACTTTTTATTGTCTTAACTGAAAAAATAGGGTCAAATTAACTTTAAGCCTTATCACATACAGCAGAAAAAGTCCACGTCATCAAAAGTTTTCCTAACATAAAAAATATCATTTAAAGGCATAATAACTCTTTGTATGAGACCTATATTTCACAATAAAAACCTTGTGAATAACTCACAGAAATATAATATATTCTGTTTTACAACAAAAACAGCAGCTATAGCTTTTATTCTGATATTTGAACTTGTCTTTAGACCACGTGACCTCCATTGATGTCTATACTTTGTTAAAATCTCTTAAGAGATTTTAACAAAAAACCAAACTTTTTAGAAAAAAACCAGGGACTAACTTTGAATGTAAAAATGGATTCATTAACCATTGGTAAGTATGGGAAAATTGTTGTTTACTCCAGGAAAATTCATTTTTTGGTCGAAACGAAGAGTTATTATTGCTTTAAGTGAGCTTACAAAGCAATTGTTGCTGCAATTTCTTACAAACTTAATTGATCTCACCCATTATTCTTATATATTTGAATTACAACATCATGACACTTAGGAATTATTAGGAATTCCATATATTACTTAACATTGGAAGATGTGTACAAAAACAACTTTAAAAGCATGGACCAGTTCAGAATGCTATTAACATCAATACTTTATCAAACTCGAGAATGTGGAAGATACAACAGCTGTGAGGTTCAGATAAAGCAATCTTTAAACCCAACTTGTGACTTCATAAAATCACCCAACCCATACAGCATGCTAGCACTTTGGCTGATACAAATTTACAAAAGGATTCAATTTTCCCAGGACTGACCACATAGCCACACTGCAGTACTATAATCCCAGTCACAATGCCAACGTTCACAGTGTTATCTTGTATTTGGCTATTATGTGTTACACAATCACACCTAACACAGTCACACCCAACACAGTCACACCTAACACAATCACACCCAACACAGTCACACCTAACACAGTCAAACCTAACACAGACAAGCTCAACATAAATATTCCAATATTTTACCACCAATATTCCAATATGAAACAGATAAATCAATGAAAAAAATATTCACAAAAAAGGTCCACCCAACTTTAACGTGCCAAAAAGAATTTTAATTGTAAATGCAATATTGTATTATAATTTAACCTCAAACATCAAAATTGTTTAAATAATCACTTCATACTTATACAGATATGTTGGCATTACAAATATGCAGGCCTTTCTCTACATACTGGTGATTATATCTCTTTCAAGACAACACATAAATTACTCATATTCACATACAATGCTTACTCTGTATTTGACCATCATCCCCGAGTTCCACAGTCAATTGGAAAACTCTCTAATAAATGAATATGTTTCCCTCTTTGACTACAGAAGCAGTAATAGTAAGCATATGCCAGGTGGAGGAGGGGCACTGCCAGCTTGTTAACACTCAGAGTGACAAGTCTTGGCTAAATAAACAAAGAGGTATCCTATTCATATGATGCATGTAAGTTATCTTATAAGCCCAGAAGTATGCTGCATGAGTTTCTTTCTTCTGGTTTGTTCTTCCAGTAAAGCACAGCTGCCTTCACAATGAAGATGACCATGGTTTGGTTTTGAATGTGACTGCAAAGTCATATGCCTGACAATGGGGGGGGGGGGGGGGGGCCGAGGGGGGANCATAAATTACTCATATTCACATACAATGCTTACTCTGTATTTGACCATCATCCCCGAGTTCCACAGTCAATTGGAAAACTATCTAATTAATGAATATGTTTCCCTCTTTGACGACAGAAGCAGTAATAGTAAGGATATGCCAAGTGGAGGAGGGGCACTGCCAGCTCGTTAACACTCGGAGTGACAAGTCTTGGCTAAATAAACAAAGAGGTATCCTATTCATATGATGCATGTAAGTTATCTTATAAGCCTAGAAGTATGCTGCATGAGTTTCTTTCTTCTGGTTTGTTCTTCCAGTAAAACACAGCTGCCTTCACAATGAAGATGACCATGGTTTGGTTTTGAATGTGACTGCAAAGTCATATGCCTGACTGACATAGTGGGGGGGGGGGTAGAGGGATTAGAAAATGTACCTTTCAGCCAAGAGCTCTGCTCTAAATCAAAAGTTGTAGGTTCTATGCCGTTATCATGGTAATAAGGTCCAAAGGGCCCCCAATATAAAATTGTAATATTTGGCAATTGTAAATTGTAATTGTTGGCTACAATCCTGCATTTGCTGACCGGTATAGAAAATACCTGGCATTACCATTATAGTAGCACATCATTAAAGTAATTACTCACCAATTTTTGAACAAACCTGATTTATAAAACAATAACCATGTCATAAATTGAAAATGGTTATCTCATACAACTGGGAAGCAAGTTGGGTTTATGTCAGAAAATTTGTAGTGGGAAGTTACTTTAAATGATAAATACTTGAAATTTACAGTCTTGGAAGGAAACAAAACTAAATTTAGATGTTTAAAAAATTTTGAGCAATTTCTGAATTATCTGAACCTGTCTTTTTGCCCACATAGTCCTGTAAGAGATGTGTTGGCATGAGAATTGTCCCCTGTCACCAATGTCTTATATGATACATTTCTAACCCAGTGTCAGCCCTCTCCAAGATGTGTTGACAATTAAAATCAATCCTGTCACTACTGTCTCTTATGGGACATTTTAAAGACCTTGGATTCATATGGTACAGATAAAAGGCCTTTAATATCTACCTCAGGTATATTTGTCTCCTAAGTGATCTGACTAACATCACACAAACACAGCTGTCATCTTCATCAGTTTTAGTCACCTTTTTGTGATATGTTTGTATTGAAATTGGCGTGGCTGAACCTGTAACGGTACCTTGTATGGTCCTTGTTGACACACGCTGTTACCCGTCACCACTTTCTGTGACATAAGTTCCACAGCTGCCTTGTGTGCGACACACCTGACACCAGAGTCTGGTGGAAAGTCAGCAGTGCTAACGTTTATCAAACACCACAGCTTTGTACGTCCCTGCGGCCTGGTTTGTGATCTCTTGTCCCCCCAGGGTGGCTGTGCCATCTTTACCTATATATAACTGGAGGCCAGAGGCTGGAAAACACAAAATTTTGTATATTTTCACTGAAATTTAACATTTGCTAAGTCAGACTAAGTAATTTTACACATATATAAAAGTATGGTAATGACTCAATCTTTGCAGTTGGAAAAAATTGTAAATTTTTCAGATGCAGGTAGTACGATAGGGTTATGGGAACGAGCCCATAGTTTCAATTTATTAATGACATCTCCCAACTTACTTTCAGCGCTGTCATCTACGTGGAAGTCTTTGACCAGTTCCTCTATAAGTTCATCTGTATCCACCCTGGTGGAATCTACCCTCTTCTCTTTGGCACTTTCTGATTCCAGTTTCTACAGAAGTAAAAACATTAAATTCTTCAGCATCCATATATCATTGTACCTTTTTGTGTCTGTCATTACTGCAGCAGTTGGTGTCACAATGCACATTCCTGGATTTTCTGAAAACCGAATTTTTTTTCTCCACTTTTATATAATACTGTTGATAATGTTAATATCTTGTCCGTCGATCTACAATTCCTTTGCTAGTACAAAATTCAATATCATAACTGCCCTGGCTCTCATTTCTCCTTCTTCCATATCAGTCTGTGTTACTATGACTAACTTACTTATACCACTCACAGATGTTGTGACAATGGGGATATATGCTTGATTTGGTTTTATGGATGTTTTTCTGTGAAACAAGTATTTCTCTCAATATGTATGTTAAGAAATACATTGCCACCTCTGGCGATATATACTTGAGACACCTCTTGCTGACACTCAAGGTATTCTGGCATAGATCTAAATCACTCAACTGACATTATTTCAGATATATTAGTAACATACCACCTTTAAATAAGCACCATACTTTTACTTACCCCTCTCCTTCTGTCTCCCCTTCCTAAGTCACTCATTCCTGATCCTGTACTTGGGTTTCTGGAATCACAGGAAAAAAGAAACATCAGTTCATGACGAGATAATATGTAGAGAGACAGTCTTAGAGTAACAAACCTGGTAAAAATTTGCAAAACTACCAATCATGTTTAAAACCAATCTGAAATCAAAACTAAACAGCTACAGGGGTATTAAAACTGCTGGCACAGTAATTGGCTTTAGAGTGGGCTAAAAAAAAATCTTCAGAAGAATACATCACCCCACATGTCATGACAATACATTTCAGGTTTCAGAGTAATGAAAGCATCACTCCTCTTATTAGCATGCGCTCTCTGTTTAAGTTCAGTGACAGTGGGGCGGGGGGGGGGGGGGTGTCTTTCTTTTGTATCAGCTCTTCTCCCATCTCAAGACAAAGATGAAGAAAACAAGTATTTAAACCTTATCTTTGCCTCTCTCAAAGTAAACTGACAAGCACAGATATGACAAAAGATTTATGGAGGAATAAAGATGTTTATGAGTAAAACTGCCCACATCAGATCACTTACAATGCTTCAATACCTCTTATATTACTCTACTGCTTTTTGGGATAGATAAAAGAGAACAAATGTCATGATTTTATGTGAGAATCCTCTTAATACTTGGAAATCATATAAAATCATAGATATCAACCTCCTCATTATAATTTATAAGGTGAAATCCAATAAAACCAATAACAAGGTAGCCATAATCTAATCCATTCCATACACAGTTACGACCTTCAGCAGAGTAAGGACCACACATTAGAGCGTGATATAAACACTGAAACACACAGCAAAGTGCATCACATCATAGAGAACAAGTGAGGTGCACCTGGGCACAGAGTGCTGTACATGTACAATCAGGAGAAACACAGCATGCATAAGAAACAGTGATGTGTGCCACAAATAGTGATCAATCAACCAATCAAATCTGTGCAGTTAGAGACAGTCCTTTCTGACCTCTCATGAGGAGACCATGCTGCCCTCTTTTGTTGGGAAAAACTAAAATGGAAGCTGTCACACTGATCTCTCAAAGGACTTCGGAGGGGTGATGCTGGATACGTTGAATAGCTGCTAGAGGAAGAACAATTTTACCAAGCAAGAATGTGAAGAGGAAAGGGAATTGTCTTCATTCATTCTAAGTTGAGTATAATAACATTCAGACCTACTAAAATGAAAATGTTTATTCCAAACATTTGTGAGCTAGTACACATATATAAGAACTCTGCATCACCAAACTATTCAAAAATTTAAATACACTTGAAAACAGCATGAAATATAATTATCAAACTGCTTATATCCCCATTAAATAAATAAATAAATAAATAAATAAATAAATAAATAAATTAACTAATAACCTAACAAGCTTCTAGCCTACCTTATATGTCCCATGGCAGCTGCACTGTGGGCAGAGTCAAGACTAGGCTGCCTGATATGTGAACAGCTTGCACTGCCGCCCACCCCGGTCTGGGGGCCGGAACCCTTGGAGGTCTGGCTTGCATAGCTGGAGTTACGAGAGTGGGACTTTTCAAATTCTTTGGTTTCTGATGACACTTCTGAAGGATTGGCATCTGCAATGAAGAGGGGATTAAACGTGAAATGAGAAAGTAACAACATTTTTTTGGACACAATATTTTTTTGCCTCAAATGATGGCAATTTGAATCATTCTGAAAGAAACTGATGGAAATTCTGAGGAAAATGTTGTATTTAATAATTATCCAATTATGTTAAATCTCATTTTGGGGTAACAACGCTAGTGTTTTGTTCTTTGAACTGAGTACATTTGAATACTTCAGGGGCCTTCAGCTAGAATATGTATTTGTTCAAACACGCATTAAAGTAGCAATGATGGTCAAAACAGCAATATCCTCTCAACTGGTGTCTTGTTCCTTTAAAAAACTGAAAGCAGACAAACCTTGAGAAATAGACCCCTGTTTTCCTTTTCTTGGCAAACTTCCAAATCCACTGCTTCCGGAGTTGACACTTTCACTTTCATCTTCCCCCTTGTTATCCAGATGGAGCAGGTCATCCGCAGCCTCTCCAGGAAGACTGATGTGGAAGACGGACTTGGTCTTGGACGAAGGCCTGACATTATATAAATCATGCTTTTTACTATGATCTAGGTGTTTTCCATTTTAATCTTACTTTAATATCTTTCACAGAGGAATTCTAACATCATATTATATATCTTAATATTAATGGAAATTCATCTGTGTAGGCTTTTGATTATTTCATAAGCTTAAACTTCACTAGTGAATAGTGCTCAGCTTCATAGTAACATATACTGAGGATGGTCACAGAGTGATCAAAAGCTTTTTAAGGTACAGCTCAAGTTTGATTAGAAATGGGAAAGTTTAAGCTTATAATATATCTGATATAACATGCAAAAATCTTCAAAGAAAATGGAAGAGATAAATATGGTAACATTTTCTTTACTTTGAAAACATGATGCTTTGTCTTAAAACAAAGTAAATATAATATTTAATGCCAAGTCCAAAAGAAACAGTCTAACAAAAAGTGAGAAAAAAATCACTGAATGTCTTCCTATGGTGAAAAACATTTCTGACAAACTTCCAGTGAATTAAAGTTTGGGACCATCTAAACAGGCCATTTGAATATGATGAGCTGACTATAAGAAAACAATCTTACAGAACACACTGGGTTGGACAACAGAGAGATTATACTTGCAGTCTATGATAAACATTTCACACTCTTCAATTAAATGGCCTTTTGAATGGAAACACAACCTAAGAGAATATCTTATCATACCATCACAACTTACACTTTAAAGCAGGGATCCCCAGACAGCAGCATCATCTCAATATTTACTTTGAGCATGGAGTTATCTTGTCTGTGTTTGGAGTCATAGCCTTCCAACAAGAACCTGCGGCTGGTGGAGCCAGCTCCAGCAAACTCGGACAGGTTAACGTCAGCAAAGCCAAGCTTCTGGAATGTTTTACCCCCCTTCACTTCCTGAAAACACACAAAGATACACTTGAGAATTTGTGCTGGATGGAAGTGCTTTGGGAACATTCTGGAAACTTCAATATCCTGAAAGACATTTTCAAAATAATAAGAAAAATACCTCTATGAAGTGAGTGTTGTGACAGTGTATAAAAAGTTGGCCTAAGGTGACATGAGAGTATTAACAAACAGTCTGTATGCTGTGATTGGAACAGACATATGTCACAAGTAGTTAAGATTTCACAAAATATCCTGTAACTGCTGGACACGTATAAAAAGCTGCTACAAAGGGTTCCTGACAACTGGGTGTGGCATCTTACAAAATAATAATAAGGAATAAGGATCACATTACTAAAAAATTTTTTTGAGGGGGGGGGGGGTCTTTTAATCAATCCAGAATGGAGGTCTTGAAAAACTGCTTTTAGGGATGGTCCATTTTTATTTATTTATTTATTTATTTTTTAGGGGGGGGGGATCACAGGCATTTTCTCCCCACTTAAATAATGACCAAACCTATCATGGACATAGCAATTGTATACAACTAGTAAGGCACAGGGGCAGACCCAGATATATATTTTCTAACAGTCTTCTAAATTATCTTGAGTTTGTTGTTCTATCCTCCATTTTTGACCATTTTCCGAGAGAAAAAATTAGATGTCCATCGATGTAAACTTGAAAATTTCAGACCGTCTTCCGGAAGACCCAGAAGATGGCTTCCATTCTCCCCTGAAGCATAAGTAAACATATGAAAATTTTGCTAAAAATAGTTACCAATTTATAAAAAAAATTTGTTCATATTGTAAGATGAAAAATATAGTTACCAAAAGTAGAAAATCTGTTCTATGCCAAAGAATACTCACCCTTCTGACAGAGACCCTACATATACAGGGCTCTAGCACCCCTGTGTTGGGGTTGGCCGTCATCTTGGTGTGGAATTGGACTTTTGACTCCCATCGCACGCAATGCTTCTTTACTTCCTCACTGGAAATATAACAGATAGTAATGATGCCTTTGCTTACTTATAGCAAGTGATTTTATACAAAACTGCCACATTACACATTTATAGAGTAGAAATCAGAAGAAAATAATGAACAGCTGGTAACATCTGAACAGGATATGTTTACAAGTAGATCAGACATGCTACCAGTAACCTGCAAGGTTGATACATCAATGGAATCATTGTCTGGATACAGTTAATTTTTCTATGAGTGTCAATATAACAATCAAGTGTCTAGTGGATACAGTACAGCCTTCCAACAGAAGGAAATCCACTTTGCTACATTTTTGAAAACAAGAACAAGAGAATATTGATGTGTATTATAAGTACCATAGCTTTTGTCAAATCACAAATCCAGCTATAATTCCAGTTTCATGAAATTAGAGATATACTATGTATTGTAGAGTTATTAAAGCTGCATTATGAATTTGACTTTTCTATATTTGTGTAAATGCAAGAAGCTGTCTATCAATCATGGGTTTAATTGTACTCCAGGGCTTCTTCTACATGAATATAGCTTCATGTGTGATTTATGTCTATATGAGATTGTTCATGTATTGTCTTATTATATAATACAATTTTAAGCATTATAAATCAATGGCTTTGCCTAGTGTGCAATAAGCTTTTTATATTAATACTGTTGTGATAGCAGTTGGTGCATAGAGCTTCTTTTACAATTTTCCCAATACAACAAATACACTAACATACACAGCCAGATTCATCACCATTTATTATCATCTGCAGCAGAAAATCAATTGCTTTTTTAATCTTATTGTTTAAACCATAGTTGACACAGCAATACTTCACTAGAACCAACATATTTCTCCTTGCCTCTGCAGCTTATACTCACTGCCACAAAGGGACATTGTGTATGTGACTAACATCAATGTGATGCGGGTATATGTTCATATATTATTTCCTTCAGAGATTCGCATTAGCTACAATGTCAGTAGCAAGCTATAAACTAGTTCCATCAACACATACCACAGGTATCGTCTTTCCTTCACCCCCTCCCCTCCTGCCTAAGGGCATTATACAGATTTATACAGATAGTTGAAATCTGCACACGTTTCAAAAGCAAAAAGCAAACCATGGGTAGATTTCGTAAAACAAAAACAAAAACAAATCATTGGTTGGATTTGTTGGAATTTAATCCAAATTGCTTGTAATGAAAAGAAAAGTTAATTTCTTTGGTTGTTAACACTGCATGGTAGTTCCATCATTTCTTTACTTTTTATTCATCTTGTTTCATTTCTTTTTAATGGAAATGGGATGAATCAGTCTGTTGATGTGAAATCTGCACACGTTTCAAAAGCAAAAAGCAAACCATGAGTGGATTTTGTAAAACAAAAACAAAAAGAAATCATTGGTTAGATTTGCTGGAATTTAATCCAAATTGATTGTAATGAAAAGAAAAGTTACTTTCTTTTGTTGTTAACACTTTTTATTCATCTTGTTTCATTTCTTTTTAATGGGAATGGGTTTGAGTCAGTTGGTTGAGGTTTCCTGTCTCTGAAACTGTAAGTCATCTTAAATCTCACCTTTCAATAAATTATTTTAAAACAATCAAATTAATGTGACATAATGAATGGATCAAACCTGAACTGAAAGTAGGACGTATCAATGCTTACATTAATATTTACTATCACTACGAAATTTGACATCAACCAATACCATAATCTGACAGACACTGCTATTATACTGTATATTATACTGTATATTTTGATATTTCATGATGTCTTTCCATTCTTTGAGGGAAACTTAAGCCACTGCAGGATTTGAATCACAAAAGATAATCATTGGCTTTAGCTAATGCAATAAACACTGTTTTAACCATTCATTGCTGAGATTGATTACTAATCCAGCAAATCAAACAGAATCTTGATACTCTCAACCACTTAGGTATTGGAGCCGGAGCCCCCTTGATGTTTATTGATTTTATACACAGTTTTGTCTTAATTTCAGTTCAGGTGATGTGAAACCAAAACTAAACAGTCAGGTGATCATCTGCAGCATATCGCTACAAACTCAATCGTAACTACTGCCTCTACCTCTTGGCATATTTTGCAAGTTAAATTATTTCCAAGGAAAAACTGACAAAAAAAAAGGAAAAACTTAAACAGTTTCATGGTCCCTGTGATCATGAGGTCTATCAAAGCAACTGGATAACTTGCAATACCAGGAAATTATTTGATTCACCACTAATTAAAAGCTACAGATGAAAGTTTCACGTGACTAGTATAACATGTCCACTTCCAATTTCTTCTTTCAACAGCTGTCATAACTAAAAAGGACTGGCAGATAACATGGAATTGGTTTGTAATGTCATTATGCATGTTGTCTCACAAACCTGCTGCACTGTTTAACACAAACTAAACAAGATATTCTACAGAGAATGTGTTCCGAACACTTTGTTCAGTACCACGTTTACAACTACCCTTATCACACTACATATCTACCTCAATTGTTTTCTTAAACCACAATGTTAATGGAGGAAACAGCTACTAAATACTAAACATTATTCAATTTTATCCATTTATTTCAATCTTTTCCTTATTCCCTGCAACAACCACTATTCAAAGCACACCTAGGGCTTGGCAATGAATTCTTTCTGTTAAGACAAAATATTCCCTTGTAAGCACCAGCTGAGGAATTTTAATGTGCAAAATGAAATATGTACAATAGGAATAACTGTCCCAGAGAAAACTTTCAAGCCTTTTCACACACGCAAACACACACCCAAAAGCAAGATTGGACAATTGACTTATTTGGACTTACAAAAGAAACATGTCACGGGTCTTACGCCAGAGTTTTGAGAAGTAATGAGAAGGACCACACCTTGTTAGTGAGGGTTGATTCCCTTCCCTGGGGCCAACTTGTCAATTCAATTTATTTCTTTAAATTCCAAGCAAGGCTGATGGATCAACTGCCTCCCCATGGTCTTAGATTAAGCAGGGACGGCATCTTTTAAATTCATTTTATTATTTCTTCAATAAATTTTAAACAAAACTTTATAGAAGTTTCTGAATAATGATCTCTGGCCAAGCTGAGGCATTTTTCTTGGTGAATACCTAATGCAAGTAATATATTTATAGATCACAGAAAAATAATAAAAATGTTTCATGTGTGATGTCTGTAATTTGGAAGTAATTACAATCGTTTAATTACAGTTTACACTGGTTCTATACTGTGTGGTCATACCCAAAACTATTTTACGTATAATTTATATACAAGAGTCTTATCTTTATTTTTAGACAGAATGCCATAATCATAATTTATTGTTAGGTCAGACCCTTTCAGGTAAAAATGTGCGAGAACACATTTCAATTTTTATATCATTATTATCATTCAATTATTATAAGTAGTAGAGGATTGATAATACCCACCCTCAATACATTGATTCCCAAGAAAGCTGGACAGGTTAATAGAAGGGATATAAATGTAAGCTCCATAAAATGACTCATTCAGATGCATGCAATGTTTGAGTCAAAACTTATAAAGTAGCTGGATGCAGTCTCTCTCTCTAAACTGGCGCAGTCATCTAAGTAATACTGTACAAAGTAAACACTCTATTTCAATGGTGAAGTAAGTGATTTGGAAATGAATAGCATAGCATCTTTACAGATTACTACAGATTATGTACTAAACGTGCTACGCCCAAATGAGTGATAAATGAAATGAGATCTTATATAACTTATGTACCATGGTCAGCTGAATAGGAAATGGGCAGGGCAAGCCAAGTGCCCTGGGCTAACCCGAGTCAAATTTGGAACAAGCAGAAAAGTAGTGTTCTCTCCCCCCCCCCCCCCACCACCAAATTAAATCTTAAGAGATATTGAAATTATTTGTACTTGATAACCTGTCTTCCTAACAGCAGTGACATATTGCATGCAGCAGCACTTAATACAAATCTTGATTCAAAGGTATTGATTTCTATTTGCATTCATTTGAATACATAAGAGTGTTAAAGAACTGTTTCACTTCAATGAATTTATATGAATAAATTATGTCAATCAAAGCATAGTCATTGCCATCTCCATTTCACAGATTTTTTAAAGACAAATTTTTGTGTATATAGCTCAAATAAAATATCCATAAATTCTCTGTAAATTAAAATTGCCGACGGAGTTTGTTAATTTGTGCACAAACAATCATTTTTGAAATCATATCAAGGACAAAGTACTTATTTCTAAAATGCATTTATGATTATCTGAGGCGCTTTATTTTCTGTATATAGCAGAAGTTAGCATGACACCCTTGTTATTTATCCAGTTTCGAGAATTCATATATTAAACTTCAAATATCTTAATGACACTGAAAATGAAGTTCTGAAATGTGTTTCTTCCCTCACTTTAAAAGAACTATTCTCCAAGGGTTTCACAATTCACAAGCCCTGTACAAATGTACATGAATGGTAATCCCCATTATTGGTACAACTGGTAAGCCAGAGCTCATTGGAAAACACTCTGTCAACAGTCCATGATAACACCATTGAAATCAATCCATACACACACACACAGAGAATCCACTACATTCAAGGTCCTTCGGTTTGTCAATCTAAACACAATAACATCATTTTGTAGAATATGACAATGCTTTTCCTAGAACAAAGGTCATCTTATTCATGGACTCCAGGCAGGTAATACTGAAGACAATATAATGCTAGAACAATACCAATCCAAGTGCAACAGAATCCACTGCACTAATCTCAAGTCATGGTGACCCAGGTCATCAAACATACCTGAAAGCTGATAAGAGGGCCCTCACATAAGACATCCAGACTGAGGAATTCAAAATCACCTGTACTTCATATGGCAGTTAAACAACATCAAAATACCTCTTAATGCTGTAATGCCCAGTAGGCCTCACATTTACACTGCTCTAATGTTTTATAAAAGGTACAAATGAACATAGTGTAAATTTGGAATTAAAAGCAATCTCCCATAAGAGGCATGCTACCTGTATGTGTAGATTAGAATTTGTTCATTTTCTCTAAATAAATAAATAAATAAATAAATAAATAAATAAATAAATAAATAAATAAATAAATAAAAACTTATCATTCCTTTTTTATTTTACATCTGAAACTTTCTTTTTTGCCATCTTTCTAGTCTTAGATACTGATTTTAAAGCATTTACATTTTTCTTAGACAAATCAAGGGTTATTTTCAGATGTTCAAGTCAACATAGCGCAACTTTACATCATCCATCAGATATGTTTATTTCTTAGAGCATCTGATGTCAAATAACCAGCCCACTAATGTAACTTTTGCTTGACTGAACTTTTTAGAAAACTTGTAACTGCAGTTGTGCAGTCATTATCTATATCAATTTTAAGTAGTTTTATCTTTCAAATTTACTGCACTTAAAGCACTAAATATGTACTAGAGATTATGAATGTGACCCCTGCATTTGTGCCAAAATAGCTGTCACAACTGGTTTGATAGGATTCTTTGGGTGGAAACCAGCACACCACATTAAGGTGTAGCTGGAGTCAATCTTTTGAAAGACATTAAAAATTTTCTTTTTTATAAAAATTATCATCTTTCTTGGTTCCAGCCCATTTACAAATAGGCTGTGAATTTACAGTAATGTTTTACAAAAATGGCAAAATAGATGCTAATCTATAATAAAACTCTAAATTTATTATTGAATTTATTTAAAAATACTGTAAGCCAAGATGGAAGATTGACTTTATCTTTCTGACCGACTATTAATCAAATTTTCATCAACAAATTACCACACATATTCAGAGATCATTGTCCACTAACTTTCAAAGTAGTTTCTTTTAACCCCCCTCCCCTCCCCATTGTCATTTATTTATTTTTGACAACAAAATCACTGGTAAATCAATTTGTTTTTGATATGATCATTAATGTAAATGATGTATCTTCCTCAAAACTAATAACAAACAGACTTGGGTGATGGGATTTTAAAAGTCAAAATAAAATCCCCTGTAGCCCTGAATAAACACAAACCAAGTGAATGTGAAAGACTCATAACAAATTTCCCTAAAATTCAGAACTTTCTTCAAAAATCAAATCACTGCGAAGGATGGAAAGACTCTAACCAGAAAAAAATACACATCAATATTCAAATGATTATGCACTAAAGTAACTTTTAATAAAGAATACCTATACTGGTGAGTCTTCTGACAGTCAGCAAATATAACACTGACTTTCCCCTTCTAATAAAACATACAACCCTAGTCAGATTCAGTCTATTGATTGGAGTCTGTTTGTATACTATCAGATATCCTCCACAATCTGTGAAATGACAATCTTAATGACAGTGAAGTGTGTTTGGGTGTGAGAATCCTGTCAGGTGGAGTTCCTGCTATTGCTCTTTGCCAAACAAACTGGAATAGATTCTGAGATCCAAAACTGCTGAATTCAATACTGCCCAGTGCTTTGATGGCCTGCAGAGCCAGCAGTATTTGAAAGGTCTGTATGACCTGGGATATTTATGCGAGAGTAATTAGCTGTTGGTCACTTGTTGTTATGAAGAAGTTCTAATGAGAGATGCAATTCTGTTAATGTAGAATATACCATCTTGAGAACAGCTTTCTGTTTCACCCCCCCCCCTCTCCTTTCAACTCTCATCCTCTTCTCTCCCCTCTACTACCTGTCACAACATTCTTAACAAAATAAATAAATATATTGATTGCTACATCATGCACAGATTAACACACAGGTTTAGATTAGCTGCTGTTAATTGTTACAACAGCGTCTGTGATGTGCTTCCTTCACCTACCGTGACGTCTCGCAGGTGAAACTCCCTCCGTCCACTAGCCTGACCTTCCCAAACAGAATCCCACTCACAAAAGGCACGGACGATAACTCTTCCACTTCAAAATTTACTAAGAATCGGAAACGTTTTTTCTTCGCTATAAAAGACATCACGTCTGGATGGAGGTCATCTTACGGTTGGATGTAACCTTAGATTTTTTCAATTCGGGATGTAAACATGGCTGTTATCTTATCTAAAGTCAGCGTACAGTGGTCTAGACGGATTATTGGTTCCTCTCCTCTGCCGTCTTGGAAGTTGGAAGGGATTCTCTAAACGCGTTCCATTCTGATTTTCTTTTAGATCAACTCCCTTATATCAAGTTTTCAGTGTGTAATATTCAACTACTTTTCCCTCTAACACATTCCTCGCCTGGTATTTGTTACACGTAGATTCTGTATTCCGTAATCCTATGATTAAGTCGACACACACAAACCGTCCGCTCTAAACAAGCAAGCTGCTGGGTGTTGACATCTGAACTTTAGTCCCGCACTAAATAATCTTGGAGTGCCCGTCTGTCATAGATTCATTACAAAGGCACAACTAATAGTAAAAGTGATACCATTTTATAGAAAAATAATCTGAAGAAAATAAGAGCTTTGTTAGTTCTTTTGGTGATCCCTGTTTAGTGTCATTATGATTACTGATGTAGTTCACCAATCAAAACGGTCGAAGCTCAATACTCCGTAACACGAAATGTTGAAAACCAGACGAGTTCTGTCGAATAATCATATCTAGCAATGTCTTCATCTGCCCCCGAGGGGCAGGAATCAGTCTCGGAAGAAGAGGGGACGAGGTATCTCGAGCTCTTTGAAAAGTTGGATGTTAACAAAGATGGCAAAGTTGACATTGAAGACCTCAGTCGATCTCTTCGAGAGATGGAATCTTTCGAAAAACACTCTTGGGATCAGGTGCAGGATCACGCCAAGGTGGGTTAGCTTAAACACCTGTTAACACGGAATGTTCACAGAACACATTCGGGGAGAGGTGACACTTCTGTTAACTGGTGATTCTGAAACGCCAGTCTACGTCATAATGGCAATTTTATTCTAGTAATGTGATGGTGAACTGTGTAGTCCCTTGTAGAGGTCATGCTTCACTGACTTTTGTTTTGAGAAAATCATTATTAATTGAGTATGATACGAATGACAGTTCATTCATTTCTTTCTTTTAATGGGCCCAAAAAATGAGGCCTGTCTTTGAATGATGATCAGATCAGATGAGAAAACAGTGTATATATGCATACTATTTGTCAATGATGTATTATCATTATTAAATATCAAGTAGTTCTATTGTTATTTTGAAAGCAGTCAATTATAAATTATAATGTATTATATTATTTATGTTAAAATTTAAATGTAAATGTTTAATTTGTAATTTTGCATTTTAGAAAATATTTGACAGAACGGACTTAGATAAAGATGGTCACATTACATTCAAAGAGTTTGTCCGCTATCTCTCAGAACATGAAAAGGAACTCAAATTGGCTTTCCACAAGTTAGATGAAAACAGAGATGGTAAGTGGTTTGTAATGTAGTTGTATAGCCAGAAATCAGTATTGTTATAGTATTGCTCATAAAACAGTGTGCTGTAAGTGTTATAATATTTCACTCATTGCTCATCCAACTGTCATCCATATTACTACTTATTCGGTACAAACAATGTGCAAGTAACTAATACTATAGGCAATAGTCTAGTATGAGGTTTGTGTAGTTCATAGACTTAAGTTACCAAGATAGATGTTGAAGTGAACATGACTAAGCCACAAGTTATCTCTTATTTTCATTCATGTTATCTGGTATCTTTTTTGCATTTGATTTATATATTTGATATTGTAGTTAATATTTGCAGTTAAACAGACTTCAGAGTCATGTCCCCTAAGGCTGTTGTAGGATGTTCTTGTGTATGAATTATGCACCAGTATCTAAAGATTTATGTCTTTTCAGTATGATGCAATTTATATTATACCATTGAACATTTTACCAAGGTATTCAGGAAGTAGAATTCCAAAGTGTTTTTTCACCAGCCTTAATTGCACTAGTTCCAGTACTTACTATGCAGATTTATTAGGCTGGCAGATTAATACTCATTTTTTCAAGGTCCCAAATTTAAATTTTATGCCAGTAAGTTCCATATCAATCTCATGTATACTTTGAGTACAAGAGAGTTAATGTCACAAGATTCAAAAGTGTCACATAGGCAGGGAAGAAATTGTCTATTAGTAGTACATGACAAATACTTGTTTGATTCTTGTAAAGAAAATACCTACAAGTTTCAGCATGAAATTTTAATCCATAATCAATGTTGGCTGTTTACCTTTAGCAAACTAACTGCTAAAGTCATGATACCTGCAACAAAGGAGAGTTTGATAGCCCAGATCCTGTATTGTTAAGATGGCATAACTGTATACTACAGGCTTGGAATGTCAAATACACGGTGGGCATTGTTATGTGCAGGGAATGAATGGGGTAAAACCTTGGAATTTTCTTGCTCTCACCTTCAAATCCACGAACTACAGATTTGTCCAACAGTAACAAACTTCGGTGTGACACCGACTTATTTCTTGGTGTATGTAGTAGGTACGTTTAATTTACCATTATAATCTTCCCCAAAAGTTGAAGATGATTTACCTTGGTGGAGATAATGCTAATTTCAAAATATAAGGAAGATCTGTGCCAGAAATGTCATATAGTAACTGTTGCTTACCCCAACTTGTAGATCTATGTACCTGACATATTTTTGTATTGATCTTAGTAAGAAGCTTTATCTCAACTCTGCTTTTCATTTCCTCTGTAGATAAAGGGTTATATGGCATATTGATTGCGGAGTGATATTTGCCTTTGTAGTTAGAATACTAATTTATATCAAGATACACAAACCCTGGGAATTACACTATGGAGGGTATGCAACTCCTAATGCCTGTCATACTAAACTTTCTCCTTCAATGTCCAGAATATGCATTTTAAAACTAAGTGATTGTACATGTAACAAGAAAATTTTCATCAAATTAATGAGTAATAAGATGGTGAATATGATAAAATCTTTTTCTTGTGTATTTTGCCAAAAGTAGTGGTTGCTGCATGAATTCCAGCAAGCTTGTCATCTAGTTTATATAAAATTTATAAAGTTGTGTTTAGTTCTCAAAATTTGAAATCAGTCATTTATTGCATATTACTTGTGCTGAATAGCATATAGAAACATGATTATCTTGTTTATTTACAAATGAAAAGTTTCAACGTGGTATATTGCAGTAATTTCAATCTAGTGCCTGGAATTATAAACTGTGTACTTGTTCCTGACCTGATTTGAACTCGTGTTGAAGGCACTATGTTCACCACTTTTTCTGTATCCAGGACCTGAAATATGCATGCTTTGTCACAACCTTTTTTACAAAATGACTCTTCCTTGTTTACAAATTAGTGATAAATATGCCAGTAAAATTATAAATTTATTGTCAGAATTCAAAGTCAAATATTTATTTGAGTAACATAAACTATTATATAAAGTGTTAAGGTGACCTCAGAAATGATAACTCACAGGTCATTGGTGCATTATCTTGTAGCACATGATCATGCAGTGATGCTAAGGTCACTGCAGTGAAATATTTCATTGGTCATCAGAGATAAAGGTCTTCCAGTTTGATGCGGAAGTACAGATATATATATATATATATAAATGAATTAAACAAGGCTATATAGAGCTGTGTTGGTGGCAATATCTTTAAAATTTAAAAAAGGTCGTCTTCTGCCTCTGTGTCATTGTTAATAATAAAAATATGGTATTTTATCTGATTGCTGGCCTACTATAATATGAAATCATGCTGGCCTACTATATTATAAAATCATGCTACAGTTCGTATTATAAATATACTTTGTGTATTTTAGTCCGCATGTATTAGAACATATAGGACCAGTTAGCTTTTATGTTGGTCTGATTGATCAAAACAAAAAAACTATACCTCTTGCAAAGTGAGCTAGCTCTTGTTCAGTTTTATCAACATGGGAATTGCTAAGTTATCCATTATTGCTGGGAATCACCCGAATTCTCAGCTGCACTAATACATAGTCTATGTTTGCATGGAATGTATCCAGATTGCGATTGCTGACTTGTCTAGGCAGACTCCCAGCAGCAGAGAAGGAAAATCTATGGGTTGTTAACATTGCAAAGGTTGTTTTGTGTGTTCAAGATGGATATGCCCTACTCAACCTTTCATCTCAACGTTATTTTACTTCCATCATCTGCAACAAGTCTTTTAATGAATTAAACAACTGTGTCCGTGTACCCATGTGGAGTCTGTTTCTAGATCAATATGACAGTTGGCCAGACACTAATTTTCCAGTTAAATCTATGTGTATTCTGCAAGTGCTTGAGGGAGGCATTAATGGATGAAATTGTTGCTTAGGCAACCAAATTGCACTCTTTCGGGAATGCTGTAACAGTCGAGTATTTTTCAGATATAGGGGTCTTTTGGGCTGCTGGAGTTTTAGGTCTGATAGTCTGTCATATTTTTTTTTCATCCATCTCTCAGTCAATCTGTCTGTCAGTACGTCTTTTTGTTAGCAGCAATAGCTTGGAATCCCAACCATATTTTTATTTCTTTTTATTTTATTCTATTTATATTGTGTTTTTGCTTGACAATTAATTTTCTCATTTACAAATGTTAAGTTCTGAAAGACTATGCTAGTACATCAGTAGTCAGGCAGCTGGCCAGCCAGTACAGGTGTGCTAGTACTATCAGGTTCTGTAAGTTAACAACCTGCACCTACCTCTACCCTCTGCCATGTACTTCTGTTTGTACTCCCAGGCCCTTCTTACCTCAGGCAGTATTTAACTTATCCAGTCTGTACAGGTATACTTTTAGAGGTCCTAACATGCAAATCAGTCTACATTTTTTGTATCCTTTTCATAAGTTATCCACAAATATGCCTTTTGTTGTTTAGTTAAGTTGGCTAGTTGGTTGTGTCATGCTCAAATGTTCCATTTAGGTGACTTCCATACACAATAGTTAGGCTTTTAACATTAAAAGTGAACTGGTCCAGATTAACATATATCACTGGATGTGAAAAGGGCTACAAATCCATGACATTGAATCATTCAGTTTCTATCTGAAGTTTCATCATTATTAAAAAAGTTAATTTTAATCATTTGTTTTTTTTTATATATATTAGGTGTAATAGACTCCCATGAGATTCAAGCATCATTCAGAAAACTAGGCATTCATATAGACAGGGAGGAGGCCATGAAGTTACTGCACAGGTAGGCAGTCATTACTTATCATATTGACATGCTGAAGAATAAAAGCTTTTATGCATTTTTGGGCTACATTGGTATAATGCTACATATTTGCAGCTGGCACCTTGAAAGATGATAAATTAGTTCTTAGATGCAGGAAATACTAACTGCTATAGGTTCAGTGCTGCTTAGAGAATAAAGTTTAAAAGTACTTTTATGCTTCAGTTGCAAGACCTCATAATTATATTATTTTTATTTCACATTGCATTTTTCTTGAATTTTTAAAAGTAAAAGAAAAATGCATGTCTCAAGTGCTTTGCCTGTTACTGTCAAGGAAAACAATAAGAAAACAAAACTGATAATTTTCAGGCCATTTTACACCAAGACATTTATGGCAGCAAAAGTCCTGGTGAGGATGCTGCTAAAATGAAAAAAAAATCTGAACAAAGCTCAATTTTTTACCATCCAAAATCATAGAAAGGTATTTTCAATCCAGCCTGGCAAAATTCAATAAGGAAACTTGTGTTTGTATCATTGAGAATGCTGTTGGTGAGCTGCATGGTCACAAGAGAATATATATGGTCATATTTCAGGATGGACAAGGACAAAACCCTAAAAATCAACTGGGATGAATGGAGAGATTACTTAACCTTTCATCCAAACTCGGACCTTCATGATATCGTACACTACTGGAGACACGGGGTAGGTATTATTGACATGAGCACAACTTCTTGAAGGTTTAGAAAATCATTTACAGTGCTTAATTCAGAAATGTTGAAATTATCCATGTCCTGCTGGTCATATCTGATAGATACAATAGATAGCTAGGATCAGTGAAAATTCTGCTCAGTCGGTCCAAAGAACCAGTAATAGTTTTAAGAGCAGCCATTTAAGAATTTGTCAGTCTGGCAAACAGGTCTTTGGTCCAGCAAATTTTTCATTCCTACAGGTCTGTAACTGTTTAAAAATTTCCAGCATGTCTGGAACTCCTTCTCTTATACAGGCACGCACTGTAACCTAAACTTGGTCCCTGTTTTCAGTCAGTGGAAATTCAGGTTAAGTTGCATTCCTTCAACAAAAAGTTGAACCCCAGAGTTGCTAAACATGTTTTGATGACAAATATGACATTTAATTCTTGATACAGAATATCAGATATCAAAATAACCTTGATCCATAAATATCTTTGGAATTTGGAATACATAATTTTTCAGAGAAAAACAGCACCTTAAAGTGATTTTTTTCATAATTGAAAACATTGTTTTGTTGCTGCTGATTAAACAGATAAAGTGTATTATTTTACTGAATTAGGGCAATGTTAAGATCTTAATATGTATCATATGTTAAACTGCTATGAGATGTTAACATTTTGATCATTCTCTTTCTGGTGACAGTGACTATCAATATTTCCCTTTTATCCAGTTGTTAAATGAGGCATAATCCTTTATAAACCATGTATTATGTGTATTGAACAAATAGATTTGTTTACCTGTCTATAAAGGTCATTTACAGTCTCAGATTCAGTATTTTATTAATGTCCACAACCAGTACAGTGCTGACGTAGATAAGTAAAAAGAATTAAGTCACCGTGACACAGATACCCAGTACTAACCGGAAACTATGACTTCATGGAAATGCTATTTTTAGGAGAGATATCCTCATACTTTAGTGACGTCAGTCAGTTATCATGCCTCTCCCACACAAAAAAGTAGGTCACACTCCATTCACATGTTAGTACGCACTGAACAGCATACAGCATGGACGGAATGGAGATAGGACTTGATTATTTTGACTCTTCTTCTTATGTAGTGGCTTTATTTTTGTTGAGATTGAACAGGGAAAAATTAAAAATGGTAGGTTTTGTTAAAATTTAATATTTTAATATCATATACGTAGTTGTATTACTTGTATTTGGTCTCAGTATTGTATGAAACTTTTGTTATAAATAGTATATTCAGGAAGATAAGTCTCACTGAATTTTTTGGTGATATATACTTTTTCAGGAGAAACAGGATTTTCTTTCACTTATCTACTTTTAAAATGCTTCTCTTTCCTACATTTGTTCAAATTTTGCTTGTTTTATTTCAGAACGGTGCAAAATTAAGTAGTTATCTTATTTAAGGCTCACTCTAACATCTGGCAAGTAAGCTAAATGTTGAATTTCCCATCCATATTTTTATTGATATTTTGGCACTGTCCCCCACCTAGGCACATTTGACCATTTGAAATCTTTCTCAAACCCTTTTCTCACATTTTGATGAACACCTAGACCTATGTCTCTCCTTAATCTGTTGTAAAAAACATAAGCAGTGTAAGTCCATTCTTTAGATGACATGCAAACTGGACTGTCCAATAGCAAATTTAGTTTGAGTGAGTCCTAACGTATTTATTCAAAATTTGAAAAGCTGAATTTACCCTTTGATTATAGTGTTGAACTCTGTCAAAAAGATCTCCCTTTTAAAGCCTAAATGGAAAAAAGAGAGTCATTTGCAAGGTTTGTTATTTCCCTTCAAGTTTATAGACTTTGGTGAAGACAGATTAGTTCCTGATGATTTCACGGAAGAGGAAATGCAGGAAGGGGTATGGTGGCGACACCTGGTGGCAGGGGGTGCTGCAGGGGGGTTGTCGCGGACGGTCACAGCCCCCATCGACAGGTTAAAGGTGCTACTGCAGGTGAGCACAGGAACCGTTTGTTGGTGCCGTTGAATTAACGCACTTCCGTTTTTTATTATTTTTTTCATATTAACCCATGACTGTTGATACGCGTTGCGTGTCAAGGTTATTCCAATGGATATGCATGGTGGATGGTGGCGGCACCTAATGGCCGGAGGTGCTGCAGGCATGGTGTCCAGGTCAATTACTGCTCCTATAGATAGGTTGAAGATCCTACTTCAGGTAGTGTGCCCCACTGGGCAGTTTTCATTTTTTTTTTTTTTTTTCACTCCTTTGTTGTACATATATTTGAAATACTATAGTTAAAATGTCTGCTGGGAGTGACAATATTTACTGCTGCTGGTTGGAAGAAAAAGGATAATGTAAGCTTAGCAGATATTTGGGAAAACTTGTTGCCTTTGGTTGAATTGTTGATTGGAAAACCACCTCTGGGTTAAGGGTATCTGCATGAGCTTTTACTATGTGATGCACACAATGTATGCTTTTAAATGGGCTGTTTCCAATATAAATACCTGCCTATATAGATCATATTTGATGTGCAGTAATTTGTATGATATATATTATATTATGTATATTTATACATTACCACCAGGTGTCTCTGGTGTATAAGCTGCAATAAACTTCACTATATTTGTACTGCTTGTTTATATCAGCTAGCATGTAGCCTTTGTGCATGTGATTTTTCTCTCCCAGCATGAGATTTTCACCCACTTGAATAATGTAGTGCCTTTTAGCAAAGTACCTCAAATTGTTTCTATAGATAGGTAGAAGTTGTAAAAAAGTATACTAGCTTTGCAGACATGTCTTGTTACCCTACATAGAGAGTAATGTAGGCCTTGTTTTCACCTCTAATAAATTCAGCTATAATATAATTATAAAATTTAGTTTAGATCTTAATTTTCTGCCTTTTTTCCCGCTTTCTCTAAATCAATCATCTTTAGTAATATCTCTTAGAAATGGTGATAAATAACAACTGCATGTATTGATTTGTGTGAAAACAGTTGCAAAGCTGTTTTGAATTTAGCCATGTGCATTATGTGCATGGATAGGCAAGAAACTTTATCTGGTTTGCTTACTTACTATACAACATATTTAGAACTACTTGATTGAAATAGATTCCTGCATGGCAGATCCAATTATATTGCATATTACGCACCTCAAGAATTCTACTTGTTCGTAGAGCCTGGAGATAGTACAATTTGCACTGTAGGTGGCAGCACCTGACTGTCACATTTTTTCCCCCTGCCTATCTTTTTTGCATAGTTTATGCAAAAGGTGGCAGCACGTGCCACCACCACCACCATCTATCCAAGGTAAAGCTTTTATATTCTCTTCTAAACTGAACTGAAGGCTATGAAACAATCTTAGGTGCAAAATTATGATGATAATTCCTTATCAAACTGTTAAATTCTCTTTGGATAATATTTTTGATTTGTTATGGAAATACTTTGCTGGTGCATTTTATTTTCAAATGGAAATTTATTTGCCATGTGTAGTTTAATTGAATATTTTCTTTTAGGTGAAGGATTCTATCTGTAATTTATGTAAAAATGAATTGCTCTCTATGGGTCATTATTACTAACACTTTTAATTTCACCATTCCTTTAGATATTACTTATAGCACTGATTGAATTGTATGTTGACAAAATATTATATCATACCTAAGTTAACATGATCTAATAATTATTGATTTATTATTTAATGGTGCAAAACCTTTGTTATTATCTTTTTGATTCATACTTATTTTATTATTCCAAAATATCTTTTAGAAATTAGTGTGATTTGTTTTGCATTGTTTTTAGCTGCAGTGGTTTGAATGTGCTCTTTTTTTATTTTTGAAGATTTTCTTTGGTTTGATCTTTGTATTAAATGTACTATGTTTTGAAAGTCTAAATGAAATAGTCATTCATTTTTGTTAAATATTTTGCAAAAGTGCTGATTTGTTTGGTATAAATTTGAATTTAAATATTTCATTTGTCCAATTTTGATAGTTCTTCAACCTTATTTCTCAATCACATTGAAAGTGTGCATGCCATTAGCAGTAGTATATTGGCATATATTATTTTAATTCATGGCACCATGACATAATTTTAGTCAAAACTGTTTTGTTTCATTATGTTTCAGTTGTTGAACTGATTTTTATTGATTGATTAATTAATTAATTATATTTTGCAGGTATATAGTACAAATCAGAACAAACTAGGTGTATATAGTGGATTTAAGCAGTTATATCGAGAAGGAGGTGCCAGAGGACTGTGGAGAGGAAATGGCATCAATGTCTTAAAGATCGCCCCAGAATCTGCAATTAAATTCATGGCATATGAACAGGTGAAAATTTTAAAGCAGCAAAAGGGTGAAACTATTGTTTTTCATAGATGGAACCAGCTCCTCGGGGACTGTTGTTGAATGTAATCAGATTAACAGTTCAACATGCCTCCTCCTGGCTTCCAGTGGATTTCAGATAAAAAGCTGATGATTATACATGTACATTGGAAACAAGAGGAGGCGTGTTAATCTGCTAGTTTGATTGCATTCAAACGCTATACATAGAACAGTAGCTTCATTGAGAGTGGGCCCAAAGTGTGTACTTCTGTTTTTAGGAATAGCTATTTATTATATTATGTGTCTTCCATTTAAAATATTGCACACGTGATGTTTTAAATGGAAGACACATGATATAATACATATCTGATACGTGAGTATTGATATTTTTACTATATGACAAATAAAATTATGATTTGGGGAAAAAAATGACTAAATTTTTTTGTTGTTGTTTTCCAGATAAAGCGTAGCTTCAAAGATCCATATAGTGGAGAGATAGCACCAGTCCACAGGTTTATATCTGGTTCTTTGGCTGGAGCTGTGGCACAGACAATTATATATCCCATGGAGGTAAGAATTGGGTCATGTACTCCCACCAAACATGGTCTCGACTAACACAATCTCTTCCCATGGAGGCAAGAACTGCAAAAAACAGTGTACACCCACCAAACATTGTCTCAACTAACACATTCTCTTCCCATGGAGGCAAGAACTGCAAAAAACAGTGTACTCCCACCAAACATTGTCTCAACTAACACAATCTCTTCCCATTCACCACTTTACAGATACTTACAAAATCGCTGCGCGCATGCGTGAGAATTGCATTGTGGGAAAAAATAGAGCAAAACAAAAACAGCGAGTATACGAATAATGGGGAATAACCTCGACGATCACACACTCTGGTCCATGATTGTAAAATTAGCGGGAAATTACCTTTCTCGATACCTTCTATCATTTCTGCAACTTGAAACACAGCAGGTAGTCATTATTTTGTGTTCAAGAGCCTTCGCGCCATGAGTTCACGCTCTTTCCCCCTCCCACAATGCAGTTCGAGTTTCCTGTCGACGTACAACTGTAAAGTGATGAATGGAGGCAAGAACTGCAAAAAACAGTGTACACCCACCAAACATTGTCTCAACTAACACAATCTCCTCCCATGGAGGCAAGAACTACAAAAAACAGTGTACACCCACCAAATACAGTGTCTCAACTAACACAATGTCTTGTGCTGTAATGTATTGCCTCATTGATGTCATAGTTGATAACCTTTCCTGTCTGAACTTGTTGAATGTTTTGAGTAAACATTTCCTACATCAGTCCTGATACAGCTCATACCAAATACTTTGCCTGGTGCATACTTTTCAGTGAAAATATTGGGACAACAGCTTTGTGGAAAGAAACCTATAGCTTGATTCAACAAACACTGGTTTGTGTAAGTTCTGTTCTGTGTTTCTAGGTCATAAAAACAAGACTGGCCCTGGGTAGAACTGGAGAATATAGTGGAATTGTTGACTGTGTTTCCAAAGTAGTCAAACACGATGGTGGGATGTCTTTATATCGGGGGTACCTACCAAATCTGGTTGGGATCTTACCCTACGCAGGGATAGATCTGTTTATTTATGAGGTGAGTTCAAAAATGACTTTGCACTGGTAATTTTAAACTATATTCAAAATGGTCAATATAGTTTTATTTTGCTTCATGAACTTAAGTTTTAGAGATAATAATTTTAGTTTGGAACATATTATTCATGAAAGAGCTGTGTTTAGCTCTTGTCACAAGAGCATCATCAAGTACTACCCTGAGTAAGAATGGTTCACAAGTCTTACTACCAACACCCAATGTCTTGTGGGTATTCATCCTAATGATGCTTTTGTGATAAAAGTGAAATGTAGCAGTTTTATAGATAACTTGTTCCAAAGTAAGTTATTATTATTATCACTAAAATGTCAGTAAATAGAATGGTATAAAAGAAATCCTTGGACCACGAACAATCCAATGGATTTTTTTTTTTTTTTTGCTTCTGTTCCTTAATTTTTTACACCATTTTTCATGTTTTCTCTGCAGACACTAAAAAGTAAGCATAAAGCCTGGTACCCAGACCACCAAGACCCCTCCATCATCTTCCTCCTCTTCTGTGGTGCTACCAGCTGCTCGTTTGGACAGCTTTGTACATATCCCTTGGCATTAATACGAACCAAACTACAAGCCAAAGGTGAGCAGATATTATAATAGCATTGATAAGAACCAAACTACAAGCTAAAAGTAAAGAGGTATGGCATTGATACGAACCAAATTACAAGCCAAAGGTATGAAAATGTTATAATAGCATTAAGATGAAGCAAACTACAAGCCAAAGCTAGAAAGATATGGTATTAATACAAACCAAATTACAAGTCAAAGGTTAGGAGATCTTATAGTAGCATGAATAGAAACCAAACTACAAGGCAAAGGTAAGAAAATATAGCTGGTAACATGGAAAACTGTTAGTTTTGTGAGGCAAACAAATATTGGAGGTAAACACAATTTCAGTGTTAGCTGTTGATTGAAGAAAAGTTACTACTTTATTGTTTGTTTTGTAGCTAGACTTCAAATTTTGATTAAAATTGCAGTTATTAGCAAGCGTTGATACATTTGAAAGTAGTCCATTGTGTATGGAGCAAATTTGGAAATGATACGGATATCCTTCATTGCAGGTTTAATCTAATAATTATTGTGGCCACAATTTCTTTTAAATTATTATTTCAGGCAAGCTTGGAGGAAAGAAAGACAGTTGGATAGGTTTAGGCAGGACAATTGTGAAAGAAGAGGGATTCTTAGGACTCTATAGAGGAATTATACCTAATTTTGCCAAGGTGTTACCAGCAGTCAGCATCAGCTACGTCACTTATGAACATGTACGGAAACTGCTAGGGGTAGATATGTCATAGCTTTCTGATCACACGCCAGCTTTATTTATGATCATTTAAAAACCTGCAGAAGATGCTTAGCAGAGAAATGGACTATTCTTCTCATGTCAGCAGTCAGCTTCATGTACAACCACATGTTTGAAGATGACCAGTATGTATTATAACCTCGTGGATACGCACACAGCTGCCATGTGACCAGTTACAGCCAATGGGATGTAAGCTTCACATTCTCTGCAGGACTGTCTTTAGAGTGACATTGCATTTTCTGGTGTTTTAAGTGATTTTTTTTTCTTACATTCAGCCATCAGTGTTTTTTGATGTCATTTATGGCTTACAGAAGACAATCGACTTGCTCATAGTTCTCTTTCTGGGAATAGATGCAGCCAGTTTGTCAACAGATTAAAAAAAAGGGACTGCCAATAACAAAAGTGACTGATATTTATATCAAATACTTAAAAAAGGTGCACAAATAAGAATCAGTGCTCAGAGAAAAGGGATATAGATAGGGTTGACTGGACTCCCTCAGTACCACTAGAGTGCAACAAGGAACTTGTACTGTGGGACGCAGGACGCAATGCTCTTTGTCCATATTAATGTGATATTTTGTTAATGTTCAGAGTTGTTGTTTTAAAGAATAATGACCAAGGACTTGAGAATGAGTATTACTCATTTGTCATTGAACTTTGAATCTTGCAGTGTAAATCTTCTTTGCATGTGGTCTGTATCTTGTTCTATTTCAGTCCTCATCAGTGTTAAATATTCTGTAGATGTGATGTAAGGGAGTTCTCCGAGTCACGTCAGTGAGACACATTTTGTGCAATACTTGCCAGTTTTATATCTCTCTTTAATAACTGAAGTTCTTTTCATATTGAAAGGCACCTAACTATAAATATATATGTACTAAATTGAGGGTACTGTATAGAAAATAATAGGATTAGTCAGAGTTAGGCAAATATTACACACAATGTGTGCATCACTGACGCCATTCAGAGAACCCTTTTCTTTTTGGAATGACCCGTGAATGAATTGTTGACTGAGGTTTTTCTGTTAGGTTTGGCAATCTACATCCCAAATGATTGTGTCATGCTAATAATCATTCTCATTGTTTGTCCATCACTTACTAGTACTAAAATTCTATCAAATATGAGAGGTACTGTAACAACTCTAGTTGAATGTAGCTTAAAGCTTTAAGTAATTGACTCATGTTATAAGGTAAACAGTTTTTTCCCCTAGTTGTTTTAATTTATTACCTCTTTCTAAATGTAATAGATGCATTTTGGTAAAATTTTCAGACTGGACCAGAATTTGGTTAACTTAGAAACAATTAGTTTGTGGTGGTGATCCTTCAATCAATGATCAAAAATGAAAATTCAGCTGCCTTGGCAGAGGTCTACTCTCATGTGTTTTTTACTTGTCATTTAAATAATCATTGCTTCTTTGTTGTGCAATATAGTGCCATACTTGGTCCACCCAAGGTTTGTGTGCATTTTGCATTTAGAATCAAAATTTTTGTCTTATGAGTAAGAGCAATTTGATGAAAGTTAATGGATCTTTAGCAACTTCTGACAGAGCGGCTTTGGCTTTTTTCCCAATTATATTTGTCAGAACTTATCTTCTTCCCCATTCCGCTTCCCATTGTAAATGTTGACAATTTTAATTATTGTGGTCAACTTAACTGTAAATTTTAAGTAGTAAATCTCTAACAAAAATGATTATTTACCTATTTTTCTGAAATCTTAGTAATCAACAAAAAGATTACCAGTTCCTGATAATGATGAAGACAGTGGTTGCATTATATGTGAGGTGTGAACCAGAAAGCTCTATCAGCTTTAAATAAATACCAAATATTTCAGCACAAAAAATACTGTCATTTGACAGGGATCAGACTCCAGAATGTGGAGTATATCTGCTGGTGAGGTTATTATTAATGTAGTAAAAAATATGCATTTAAAGTTAGAAAACTTGGACTAAAAAAATTCATTATCTGAGCACTTAGTAGTGCGACTTGAACACTATGGCATACAGCTGGTTAAAATATAACTTTGACATAGAAAAATCTTAGGGCACTGCACTTTTATGCAGGAGAGATGTTGAGACTGTAAAAAGATACATAGGATATATTTTAATCTGTTGAACATTATATTGTCATAAGGTCTGGGTTGAACTGAGAGGCCGAATACAAGCTTCTTGCAGGATGTGGAAGGTTGTGCATCCACCTCTCATTTATTTATATATATTTTCTCTCTGTGAAATGATGTATGAATGGAAGTTGTAATTATGTTTATTGTGATCTTTCCACAGTATGATCACTTACTTTTTTTATACTTTCATTGATGAATAAAATGTTATGAAGTAAGTATTGTCAGCTGAAAAGTCAAAATTAAATTGTTTTAATTTAATTCTGCTTCAAAATTTTATAAAAAACAACCTGAACTAATTTCCTTCCATCTGATTCTGCTATTTCATTTGCAGTGACCTGTTTTTAAATTGCGCCAAAATATTCAGTAATACAACTAAAAATCAATTTGGGAACAAGCCCAATTTAACCAATTTCATTCAGCTGTTTGTCGTATGGAAGAAAGTAAACAATGCCCTGAAAGTTCAAACATCTTTTGTGAAAACATTTTACAACAACTCTATCACAAAAAGTTTGAAAGTTTGATACCATCTGAAAAAACAAATCTGGTAGCATCTTAACAAGTCTGAATACAAAAATATGCTGTTTGGACAGCATACATTGTGGTTTGGTCCAATGAGACAACTATTCATTTTGACCATTCATCTGTTAAGATGGCATGCAGGCATTCTTATGACATGCATGACATGGCATGCATGGCATTCTTATGACAAAGTATTAAATGGAAGAGTTTCATCTTCTGGATGACTCAAATGTTCCATCATTTCCTTCAAAAAGGCTGGCATTCACTTACAGCTTACAGGGTATAAAATTTCCCTAATGTTTTATTTGACTTCCATCTTCACCTATGATGTTCTTGTCTTGACTCTTAGCGCCATCTACCAGTGCATTAAATCAACATATTGTAATGTATAGGATCATACAGTGGCTTCCTGGCACCGCCTTGGGAGCCACAGAAGACTCCTGCTGCCATCTACTGGTGTTTTCATCCAATATTATGTACAGCTTATGCTAGCTATTACTGGACCTCTGTCTTTTCCAGAATTTTTTAACATCATCATGGCCACCTCTTGTCACAACCATTGTTCTTTTTTGTGGGTTTTCCCACACTAACACATCAATATCCTGAAATGATTATAACAGAAGATGAGAGACAATGACACACAGTGCACACGTGCACAAATTATGTATTTGATACATTTTCAATACATTTTACTTATTTAAGAAGCCTATATTCTAACTATTAAAACATCAGCACTGGTATATTTTTATTACATTTCACTTACTTCAAAAGTCTATGGTCTTACTGTTAAAATATCAACACTGCTGCAGTGCAAGGAAATTGGAACTGCCTGTAACATACTCTGGCAATCTGTTCACACTCTTAAATCTAAAAACACATGATATTCACTTACTCTAGCATAGTCCCGTAACAACTCAAAGTCAGTCTGTGATAGGAATTGATTATAGAGGACCCCATCTGTGAACTTGAACCTGTCCCTCTCCAGTTCCCAGAGGCGGATCTGATCTGTGATGGTGGAAGGTATCACTGGGTTCTGCAAAAAAAATCCACACATACCCATAAAACTGGATGAAGTGATATATTTCAATGCTGTAAACTTTTTTATTTTTATTTGACAAAGATGACAAATTAACGCTGTAAACTTTTACTTGATGAAGATGACAAATTTCTTTTTGGCATATAGATAAAATGCACATTGCTTCATGAACCAGCTTCTTTATAATGACATTATCATATTATACTATATTATTATTTTTATTATTAGACCATAACCTTTTTGTAAATAATGTGCTAGGACTAAAAAAATTATCACAACACAGCAAGCACTCCCGTAATGCTGTTATAATAGCAAGTAGCAGGTCCATTCACATTTGAGTTTCACATGTCTGGTGTAAATGCATAAATGATGGCACATTACGTGGCTTATAGCCTGGCAAGTTTTGTTAGACCACAAACCTGTTTCAGTGACTCTGGGTGGGCGTGGCTACGGAGAAAGTTGATTATCTGAAAAAATGTAACAGGTAATCAAAAAAATACTAAACAAAGGGACTATCTGTAAATAAAAATTAGGTTAACTGAAAATAAGGAACAGTTACTTCTCAATATCTTAGTTCTAAGCTTTTAGCTAAATTTAAATCTCTTCATCAAAATGATTCATTATAAAATCAGTTAACCTACTCCCTGAACTTAAATTTTGTCCACTCAAAGGTAAGGGACTAGAAAAATTGATTTTGCCAAATGTGGCAGAAAGGTGGATAAGATAAGCACAATTTTAGTGAATTCTATAAACAATTTTGAGATAATCCTAGTACTTGATATACATGAGGTAAAGCAGATACATTAGAGATGATAATGATGTTACATTGTGGTAGATGTGACAGTAATCAGCACAACTGCTGCAATCACCTGTTCTGCTGATATCCCACTCATCAGTGCCTGCCGCACACTATCCCGGGTTACCTGAGCAACTACAAAATTGGGAAATCTGAAATAATTGAAAAATGTTGTTTAAATTGAAATTTAAAGTAATACCTTTCTGTAAGCTATATTTACTGAACATATCTTTTGTAACTATATTACATTTTACATAAAGAACTTGTCAACTCTTACTTGTAAACATGTTCTCAGTTTTTTTTATAAAAGTTAAGTAAGAAGAATACCAAGTATCAAATATATGTTTTAAATCTTCTTCCAAACAAAAGCAATAACTATTCATTTCTCCTACTTCGTTGACATTTTAAATTATGACCTATTTATATTACATTTTCCCCATTATGCCAGTCAAGTCACCTACCTGTACAGCATTTCACAGAACAATGCCAGCAATGCATATTGTAAAGAAGACTCTGGAAATAAAAAAAATATCCAAAATTAATACTACTCTTTTAGAAAAATATTAACAACCTATAATCACTAGTCACTGTCAGAACTAGCTTAGATGTAATACAGTTTGTGTAAAAAGAACATTAACGCTTTCATTTTGCTGTATGAAGAAGACTTCAGAAGTAAGGTTTCTTAATTTTGTGTACCACTTTGCAAAACTCAACTAAGTCTTTGTCATTAATCATTTGAAACATTTATAGGAAAATCCATTCACCCTGTAGTTGGCCTATTACCTGTATAAGCATACACTCTGTAATTCGTCTCTACCACAATATAGCCAGGTCTGTGCATATCTGTAGCAGTGCTGGTCTTGGACACTCCTGTGGCCAGGTTTACAGCCAGTCTGGTGGGATAAAACCTCTGAGCCTTTCTCTGGAGAATGATTGAATTACTAGAGGTGTTATTTCATGTATTATTAATCATCATAAAACACAGAAGAATATCAGTGCAACTGCTACCTTCAGGAAAAAAAGTGTACACTGTCCATAAAAACAGATGATACAATGAGGTTTTGAAGTTAACCTGCCAATCTAATGTTTCACTATAAATTTGATTTGTTTTACAGTGAGAGGCATTTTAATGCCACTTACACACTATGACATCTCACCTTTCTCTGAAACACCAGACCAAATTCTCTGAGATGCTGCAGAAATTTAAGCTGGGATTCACTCATTCCTTCTGTGGAGTAATCCTGAAACAAATGTTAAGTTAAGCATTTTTTCAGAAATAAGAACATGGGATCTTTATACTATGTTTATCTTTGTTCAGTCTACCAATGTGGTACCAAAACTACATGCTAAAAAAAAATTTAAAATAGCTGAATACACATCAACAAAACACAAAATAACCTGCGAACATATAAATTAAATTAAAATTAAAAAAAAAAAAGATAAACTGAGTGAACTGTGTTACCTTTCCTAGTGTGGAGAAACTGAGCTGGAAGAGGAAAGACAGGGCCTCAACAATGTCCATGCCTCTAGACTGAAAGATAAAACATCAAATTACTCAAATATAACTGTAGTTATGAGTCACACATGATATATCTAAGTTTAGTTTTGAGTCAATATTGTAGTAGATGTGGTAGTGAGTTAATTTTGTTTTAAATGTAGCAGTGCATTAATATTGTGGTAGATGTGACAGTGAGTTTATATTGTGATAGATGTGACAGTCAGTTTATATTGTGGTAGATGTGACGGTGAGTTAATATTGTGGTAGATGTGACATTGAGTTAATATTGTGATAGATGTGAAAATGAGTCAATATTGTGGTAGATGTGACAGTATCACAATCACACATCCAGGTGTATACCTCCACAGTGTCCAGATACTGTAGCATGAAGAACCAGACTTGGGAGGCTGTGTCCATCAGAAGAAACTGGAACCCTGAGGCTGTGATCATTGGCTGGGAGTCACTCTCATCACTGTGTAAGATAATAAAGACATAAACTATAAGGCCTTCCACACTGACAAAAACAGAAAAAAATACACATAAATTAATTTTCAGTCCCAAAAAACATCAAAGGTATAATTTATGAATATTTTTTTGTAAAATTTTAAATAATAGTGTTTTAAATAGCAGTGCTCCAAAATCGAGCCAAGCTTAGGGGGTCATTAAGCAAGCAGTCAAATAAATGGTCTGATTATTGTTCTCTACTTTTAGATTTTAGATTCAAAATAAGTTTTATTATAATTATTATTATTATTATTATTATTATTATTATTATTATTATTCTCTACTTACACTCTCATGAGGTCACCATGTAACAGAATATCCACCACATCTCTGCTGACTCCAGACACTGCTTCCTTGGAGGCCACCATGAAGTGGAGGACACACTGCAAAGATAACACTTAGACAATGAGCACCAAATGACAGCATGGGGCATATAACTTTATAAGGCTTTACAATAATGCATGGGACATGACATATACAACTGCAAATTCAATGTGACAGTTTTGTTAGATTTCTTTGATTTAGAAACACACCAAGAGCTGAAATGTGCTTTGGAGATGTATCCTACCCGTAATTGTTTTAAAACTGATTAGGGGAAGCACCTGAGTTGAAATGATAAGAGTATATAATGTCCAGACCAGGATTGTGTAAGTGTGCCAACATGAAGGTTTTAAAAATTATTTCAGAGTAACATGTCCAACTGACTAATCCCGGGCATATGTACAATATTCTGACATTTTATCTAACCCTTACCTCCCACCTCTCCATTGCATAACTGTCAAGGAATGGGATGTCTTTGGCATATTTATCTGGTTCAAGTATTGCACTGGTCCAAGAGGTGCCACTGGAAAGATATTGCAAAATTTATTAAGTGAATAGCAGACTGGCAATACTCCACTGTAATACTAATTTACAGAACTTTTTAAAAACTCTTTCTCAAAGCACAATTACCAATTCCATAATATAAAATCCTTGTACGTTCCATAATTTAAACAATTCTTTAAATCATGGTTGGCCATCAAAAACCAACAGTCATAGTCCCATACTTCCTTTCATTTACAACTAAGCTTAATTCAGGCTTACCCTCCTAATAATGCTGTTTTCAGATTCCATCTGTATGTTTCATTGAGCATCCAACCTGTTAGTCCCCCAGGGAGCTGGTGGTTCTGCCACACCCTTAACTCTGACAGCACCTGGCAGGCTTGCTGATGTTCTCTGGAATACGTCAACATGTAACATATCATCTCATAGCATATAGCCACAAGCTAGAACATCATTTACAAGAAAACTCCAGTAATTAAAATAATTTTACAAGCTTTGTGTGGGGAAATTCCTTCTGAAAGCAAAACTACAACACCTAAAGGTTTACAGAGATCTAAATTCTTGGCATGTTTCTTGAGCCATTGTGTTAACTCTGTGGTGCCTTTCCTGTTTATCAACTTACTCCTGGTGTTTATTCTCTACCCATGAAGACACAACAGCTTGGGGAACTGGTTGCTCCACAAACAAAATCCTCATTACATAGTGTCTGGCTAGACAGGGGAGCTCCCTGGAAGGGTTTCAATGGAGAACAATTGTTAATTACAACAAGTGCAATTGGTAATGATATTTATAATTATTGCACTAGCTGAAGGAACAAACGTCAGAATCATCTGAAGCTGTAATTTGTGGCTAGTTTAATGTTGCCTTTATGGTACTCGTGTAACTTTTAACAACAAGGCCCTACCTGAACACTGCTAAGCATGTTGCTGGGTAGCTGTAGAGTCTGTTGAGAATGCCTGGGCTCAAACTTCCCAAATAATCATGCAAATCCTTACTAACTATCTTTCTCGTGCTCAGAGTTGCCATTTGCTTTATTTTCTAACCTCCACCTGAAGAAAACAAGATAGGCTTTAGCTTTTAGTTTTACCTTACGAACCAGATTTAATTTTAAGAAGACAACTTCCAAAATCATTCACAGATTTGTTCTTCTTATCAGAATTTTACATTTACTTAATGCTTCACAAAACACACAAGCTGAGAGCAAAAAGAGACAAAAATCGGTTTCATAAAGAGGCTGGGTCACGGTGACCTATGGCGGCCTCATGGAAGCTTCTTGTGCAAAGGCAAAGAAACACGTTGCTTAAATACTGCAGTTCCCCTTGCGTCAACTGTCAGATAACCAGGAGACATTCTAAACTTCAGAGGGATTCCTATAAGTTACGGAATTATGTTTATACACGGTATTCGGTTCGTGCTTACAGCGCGGAAAAAGCATCACCAAAGTCTGCAAAGAGCAAGGAGAAATCCAAAGAAAATGTGAAAGTGGAATATACTATTCCAACAGTAAAAGGCGAAAAAAAAGGCAAATCGACATAAGAATCTATATTCAGATTAAAAGGAATAAAAATTTGTAGAAACATTTGACTTAGTTGAACTATCTTTGGTTTTTCTGTTACTTAAGGTGTTGGAATGAGTACAGGTACATGCAGTAACTTATGATTTGATTAATTTCTGCAGGTGCAGTTCAGCATATATTGCAAACAATAGCATTTTCAATTCTCATATTTCTATCCTGTCATCAGATGTCACCTGCCCTTTACCCCAGTCTTACAGCCCCAGATATGTAGAAGCAGCGTGGTACGACTGGTGGGAGAAGAGTAACATTTTCACTCCAGAGAATACAGATAAGGTTTGTACACAGGGCTCCTTTAATTAGGTTAATGAATTGAAAAAAATTAATTAGTACCTTAATGGACATTCTGATTACTTTTACTAAACTAAATCACAGTATTCAGTTTGACTAGATAAATGAACACTATATCCATGTATAAAGGCTCATAATTAAATAGACTCCTTATTTTACCTAGCATTCATTGAGTGAGGAGAAGTTTGTAGTCATGCTGCCACCACCCAATGTGACTGGAACTCTCCACTTGGGGCATGCACTGACCAACTCCATACAGGACGCCATTGTCAGGTGGTCAGTATGATGTTTGTGTTAATTTCATGCGTATTTTACAGATCTTGTGGAACGAGGAGAATCATATTTCATTTTTTAAGTACTGAAGTGACACCACATCACATAACACCATACATTACTATAGCACATCAAATGACATAATACATGCTATACCACACATATCACATAACGCTAAAACTCGGTTCCCATACCTAGATGGATCTAACAGGATCGATCCGTCTCTGAGGGGTTTCTCACTACATTGCTTTCAGCTTAAGCGGTTGATGTCTTGCACTCCTACTAAAAGCTGCTAAAAGATAATTAATTACCACCTAGCAGCTTCAGTAGGCGTGACAGACATCTAAGCTGCTTAAGTTGATTGCAATTTAGCGAGAATCCCCTTGAACATAAAGCGATCCACAGCTAGTACAATACTGACTATGAATGGTCCCTTTATCATAACATACCATACCACACAACTCTATATCATAATTAAATATATTACCATGCTGTACCATACTTTATGTCCAATGTACACTACAGGCACAGAATGCATGGCCAGCAGGTGCTCTGGTTACCAGCCACTGACCACGCAGGTATAGCCACTCAGGTGGTTGTAGAGAAGAAGTTGTGGAGGGAGAAGAAAATGACCAGACATGATATCGGAAGAGAAAAGTTTCTGGAAGAAGTGTGGAAGTGGAAAGAAGAGTATGTTTTAGTTTGGAGATGTGAAGTACATAAATTGATCATAGCTTGGTTTTTAAAGCTGTTCTTTTTTTGCTTCATCTCATACTCTGTGTATTTTGCACTTGATCTGAAGCAAATATATGCTACAAATATTACCAACATTTTTCTTAAAATTTTATCTAGAAAGGGTGGAACAATTTGTGACCAGCTCAGGAAGATGGGATCATCTTTAGACTGGAGTCGTGAATGTTTTACAATGGACCCAGTGAGTATTTGAATGTTTAACAAAGACCAGAATCTTGAATGGTAATGATAGGTAATTGTTATAACACATTTATTGCAATATTTTTGTGCAGATTTTCATGTTAAATTTACTAACTGAATGTTAAATATGGCTCTCACTGAGTGGTGAAATGAAATGAAATGCAATGACAATTTCATCAAAATCGGTCCATAACTTTTTGAGTTATGTTGATGACAGACAGACAGAAAGACAGACAGACAAACAGGGATGAAAACATAACCTCCTTGGCAGAGGTAAAAACACTGTCTTAACTCTTTCAGAAATTATCTGCTGCAGTGACGGAAGCTTTTGTGCGTCTCCATGATGAGGGGGTTATTTACCGTGGCACCAGACTGGTCAACTGGTCATGTGCTTTACAGTCTGCTATTTCTGATATAGAAGTAAGTTTTTTATGTTTAGTCCTATTTTTATGCTTTACTAATATAATGTATTGCCTGTTCTGAAGAATTAACTTTGTTATTATTTCCTTTCATAAGTAGTAAGTGAATTTTTCCATTTACCAGAATTCCTATGAATTGGCAAGAATCTTTCTCTGATTTGATTAGAAAAAGGCATTAAATGATCCCTGTACCTGACAGTTTGATTGATTTTTGAATCAAAACTGATTTCCACGCACCCAGCACAACCCATATTTTATTATGTATTCTACAGGTGGAGCCAGTTGAAAGTGAAGGAGAAATGGCTGTGGCAATTCCAGGCTATCGGAAGAAAGTCAAATTTGGCCTCCTTTCCTCATTTGCCTATCCCATAGAAGGAGGAGGTAAATGAAATGAAAACGAGGCTAGTTCAGAACTGATGTTAGAATGCATAATTATAAAATAATAGATGTAAATTTCCAAATTAATTGGTTTATATATGTATTAATTAATTAATTTATTTATTTATTTATTTATTTATTTATTTATTTATTTATTTATTTATTTATTTATTTATTTATTTATTTTTATTTATTTATTTTTGTCTACTTTTAATTAAATTAAATGGTTTCTTTGTAAGTAATGTGATGAACTTATGAAGAAAACAATCACAGTAAATATATTCAGTACCCATCACCCATTCTGATTATATATTTGATTTTTGATGTATATTTCAACCAGTTTATGTTTATCTGCTGATAATAGAGACACTGAGGTAATTGTGGACTGATTTTTGTTAAATTTTAAAAGCTATATCTGTGTGTTTGTGTGTGTGTGTGTGTGTTTAGATAGTAGTGTAGATAGTAGGCTTCATTGAGTAACTGTATAATGCTGTTTGTTTATTAAGGAGAGATAGTTGTTGCTACAACACGCTTGGAGACAATGCTGGGAGACACGGCCATAGCAGTTGACCCTGAGGACGACAGATACAAGCACCTGCATGGGAAGTTTGCCATTCATCCTTTCTGTGATAGGAAGTTACCAATAGTATGTGATGAGTATGTGGACAAGGATTTTGGGACAGGTGAGCCTTTATAAAGTGCAGATACCAGGCCACCAGTAGAGTGGAATATATTGATATTTGGAAAAAAAAACTGTATCGTGTAAAGACTAAAACAATCAATTTGTCTATTTATTAATATTAAAAATGTTTGCTTGCTTACTTAATTTCAAGGAGTTATTGGAAGCTATTTGTTGTAAGTGTTACAAAACAAATGTAGCCAATATTTAAGTTCACACATTAATGCAATGTCATGTTATGTACACTTGGCTAAAACTCAACTATTTATGGTCAGAAATAAGAAGGTCATTCAAGACATACATAAGCACTGAGTGATTTGACAAGACTTGAAGAGTGGCCCTGAGTTATGTTTGTATTTTTAAGTCATAGAATTTAAAGAAATCTTTTTATGACCGTCTTTCCACTTTTATCATAAGGGGCTGTGAAGATCACCCCAGCACATGACTTCAATGATTTTGAAGTGGGGAAAAGACATGATCTGCCTCTGATTAACATCCTTGATAAAATGGGGAACATCACAGGCAGTGGAGGATCTCAGTTTGAGGTACTGTATGATGCTGCCACCTATGGTTAATTATCTGTTATTGCTGGTTCTATTTTTGAGATAGTTCATGTTGAAATTGCTTTATTGGGACTCGCTAATAATACATACTGATTTGAAAGTTTAAAAGTAATTTTTAAAGTGACTACAGTAATTGCAAAAAGTTTGATTAAAGAAATTTCTGTAATTTATGATGCCTGTGAGATTTGCCTCAAATTGATATACACTGGCCATCAGATATAATGATCCATTTATGAGGGCAAAAGACAGTATATATAGCACACACCATGCATATGTTTCCCTTCATCTTTGTAACATAAATCTAAAAGCATCATCCAGTTTGTAGAGTAGCAATATCATCACTGAAAAATATAATGGTATTTAAAAGGGTTTATCTTTACAGGGTATGAAACGGTTTGAAGCCAGAGAAGCTATTGAGGAAGCATTAAACAGTAAGAATCTATTTCGAGGATCTGTGCCACATCCTATGAAGATACCAGTTTGTAGGTAGGCAGCTTTCATCTGTTATAATTAAAAGTAGATATGTAACTAGTTATGGCATGTGTGCAAATTTGCTGCAAACTGTGAAGCCTCAAGGAGTTTTGCAAGAAAAAATTGCAATGCTGAAAATTTGTTGCTAATTTGCAAGAGCATCTTATACAGTATTTGAGTCAACTTTGCAAGAAGGTCTTCAGACCTCACTTGCATGGTAAAATTCCTCATAGATTTGCTGTAAATGTTTAATTTTGCTAAGGGATAACTTTTTTTAAATGTACAGTGTTGAGTGTGTTTGGTTGATTGGTGCTGTTTACCAGCCATAGGCCCCACTATTAAAGTGCACCGGCCTGTGTGTGGATCTAGATGTATGCTATTATTATTATTATTATTTGTTTTGATCACAGTCGTTCCAGAGACGTGATAGAACCGTACCTGACAGACCAGTGGTTCTTGAGGTACAGGGACATGGCAGAGACAGCAATGGAGGTAGGCAGTAAACAGTAACTAAATAACCATTAAAATACTTAAAAAATAAGGTGTAAGTGATAGGACATTGTCCCAGGTTTGATTTTTTCCTTCACTGATGAAGCATGCAGTTCACACATTAAAAGCAAATTTCCTTTTTTTTTTTTTAAAGGCTGTAAGCAGTGGAAAATTGAAGATTATTCCAGAATATTACAGTAAAGTTTGGTTTGAATGGCTGGAAAACAGTGAAAGCAGGTGATACTTACCAAGCATGTTTAAAAAGTTTCTTAACAGAAGTATTATTCCAATATTAAAATAATTTTCTGTGAATGATGAGATAATTCGTTTGGTAGTAGAAAATAAATACACAGGACTTGGGGTCGTTAAGAAATGATGTCATAATAACAGCATCTTTGTAAAATTTGCTTTTATAAAAAAAGTTGAATGGATACATTCTACTGACTGAATGTTTTTGTTAGGGATTGGTGTATATCTAGACAGCTATGGTGGGGGCACAGGATACCTGCTTATTTAGCAACTCCAAAGTCAGCTCAGGTAGGTTGAATAGAAGATAGAGAAATTGAAGAATATCTAATTCTTCCAGCTTAATTCTTGAAGATTGTAGGCAGATTGGTTGTTAACAAGATGTGTGTTTTTGCTTACAAATTGATTTCACAAAAACTTGCCCAAACATATTATAATATTTTATTATGTTAAAAGTCTTCAGATGGAGTTTGGGTGAGTGGAAGAACTGTGGAAGAGGTTCTGTCCAGGGCTGAACAGGTGCTTGGTGTACCCCAGGCAGACATAGAGCTAAGACAAGGTGAGGGGGCAGACACTGTCATTTGTTATTTCTTCTTTTCAGTATTATATAAGATAAAAAATAATAAAATCATTAATGTTTTACAACCCTGGTATACAGTTTATTTACCAGTACAATGATGACGTAATAGTTAACATTACACTTGTTGTTTTTGCAGATGAGGATGTGCTTGACACCTGGTTTTCCTCGGCTCTCTTCCCGTTCTCTTCACTGGGCTGGCCTGATCAGGTAGGTTCACTCTTTGCCAGCTTACTTATTTCAAACCATTGAATTAAATGCTGTCACTAAGAGCCTTTACACGTAACTTGCTGTCAAGCTGTTGGATTTAATATACAGTCTATCATAAGTCACTACTTTGACATTTTTGATGACATTCACACCAGCCATCACAACTAAAACACTCAGAATAACAACATCTCACAACTAACACATTTTTTATCAGTAATGAGATTATCAACGATTATCAACGATTATTATACGTCTATCAACAGATTTCTGACATTTGGGAGCTAAAATTATCTTATCCCTGATTTGTGCACAACACAATATCACACCTAAACCAATGCCCTCCTGTGTAAGGTACAGAAAGATCAGGCTTTCAAAAGCATAATCCTTATAATTGTATTTGATGTCCTCAGACCTCAGACCTGCAGGCTTACTACCCGGGGAGTTTCCTGGAAACAGGCAATGATATCTTGTTCTTCTGGGTGGCCAGAATGGTCATGATGGGACAGAAGCTCACAGGAAAATTACCCTTCAAGGAGGTGAGTTTATCAGCCGGCTGCATTTGGCATATAGCATACAGTTTGCTGAATGTGATATTGTATGGAATGGCTTGTACACTGGATGTACATTTAAATGTATTCACTAAATCAGTGATATACACCTTAAGTTGTTTTTTTGTTTTTTTGTTGTTTTTTTTCAAATTAGGGACAAAAAATCATATTTTGTATAAACCCTTTGAATTCTCTTAAATGGGTTCATACATGTAGTAAGATCATTTACTGTTAAAAATCAGTTTTTACTGCTATATTAACATATTCTTATTTGTCACCAGGTTCTTCTGCATGGCTTACTAAGGGATGCCCAGGGACGGAAAATGAGCAAGTCCCTGGGTAATGTCATTGACCCCATGGACGTCATACATGGAGCTTCTCTGCAGGTATATTATAATAGAAGATCTTTTTTAGCCATTTTTGAACCATCCCAGTATTTTAAACCTGCTATTATTTCCTTGGCACGGCTTGTGAAGTTGTGATGTTTGCTAAGGAAGGTTCAGATTATAAAGGTTGATTTGTGGCATTCCTTGGGGAATTTTTTCCCTGCCTGCTGATGCTGTTTTAACTATCTTGATTTTACAGCTAGCTAAGTAGTCAATATTGATATGATGTATTGCCACTTGTCCTTGTGTATGTAATATTACATCTTTGTTTCAGACAAATTACTTAAAATGGCTGTGGAAATAGGCAAAATATGATGAAAATTCTTAATTTTTGTCCTCAGCCATGTGGTATAACTTTTCAGCTATTGAAGAACATAGCATATTTACTGAGGTTTTATCTTATGCCTACACCTAGGAACTTCAGGATAAAATTGACGCTGGGAATTTGGATCCTAAAGAGGTGAAGATGGCCAAGTCAGGGCAGAAGAAGGAGTATCCACAAGGCATTCCTGAGTGTGGGACAGACAGCCTGAGGTTTACCCTGTGCTCTTATAATTTTAAAGGTTTGTCTATTACTTATAATAATAATTATTATTATTATTATTATTATTATTATTATTATAAATTTATTTTAAGTCTTAATTCTACATCTGTTCAGTAGACTTTATGTGAGTATAATATGTTATGGTCATTACTATCTGTGTCGATGATTTTGTCTCCCTGGTGTGATCTGTCTGGGCCAGTCTGTTGATCAAGTTACTTTTCACATAGTGTCACTATTAACTGTACCAGTCAACTTTGAGAGGTCCTAGCATGTATTTATACTACAGGGGATTTTTCTCCCTTGCACAAGCTGTTTAGTAAAATTAATTAACTGACCTTGCCATGGGCTAGAGCTTCGTTTAGGTTTAGGTGGCTTGATCTCTTACGTAACAGTCAGGTTATTATGTCATCAATATCCCAAAGTGGACTGGCCCGGTTAAGTATAAGGCTCGATGTGAAAAGGGCCTAAGACCAAAGGATTGATGTCGCAACAGTATATTCTACCAGTTGATATTCACATTTGGTATGATTAAATTGTCCAGTTTGCCTATCTAATGATGTGGTGATCTCACTCAATATTACAGCTGAAGTCCTCAACATGAACGTGAGCCATGTGATTACCAACAGAAGGTTCTGCAATAAGATATGGCAGGCATTTAAGTTCACCATGGCAAGTTTGGGACCAGACTACAAGCCTCATGATACATTTAAAGTAAGTAGATGTCTGGATTTAAGGGTCTTGGTGTAGGCTTGGTTGTAGTTTTGACATTGAGGACCACTGTCATACATTTTTGATTCAGTCAAATAATTGATATTTTTCTTCCTCTTGGTAAATGACAATATAATTTTTCTAACCCAGAGAAATTATTTTTTGTATTGAAAAAGCTATTTTTTAGTCTGAATTGGCAAATTACCCCAACAGTGTTGACTTTCTTCACTATCACTAAAATTGGTTCTATCATTGATGTTAATATTATGTTTAAGGTGAAAGGTAGATAATATAATTTCTAATATTATTCAAAATTTAATTTGTTGGAATGTTTCAACTTTGTGACCATCAGTATTCTACATGTGTATTCCACATTTCAGCTCTCAGGACATGAAAGTCCCGTAGATTTATGGATATTGAGCAGGCTTTCCACTGTGGTACAGCAATGTGACAGGTATTTCAGAGCTTATGATCTCCACCTGGCGGCTCAGGCTCTGCACCAGTTCTGGATGGCTGACTTCTGTGATATTTATATTGTGAGTAGCGCATATTAAAGTTTCTCAGTTTTTGTACAAAAATTTGATAGTTTACAAATTAGTTCTTTTGCTTAATTATCCCAGACTGATATGATGATGCTGTTATACTTTTCTGTATTAATACTGACAATAAGTTTAATTATCATCTTGAACAGGATTATCAGTTTACATTTTAGTTTATAAGATATGCTGACCTATTAAATGAATTATCGATAAAAAAATCAAATGTTTAATTGTATGTTATTTTTCCAGGAATGCTCCAAATCACCCCTAAATGAAGATGATGAAGATGCGAAAACCTGTGTCCACGACATTCTTCACCATTGTGTAGATGTTTGGCTGAGGGCCTTACATCCTTTCATGCCTTTTATAACTGAAGAGCTCTTTCAGCGTCTCCATGGCAACTCAGACCATGAAGTGAGAAGTATCAGTGTCTCAGCATATCCGTTGCCCGAACATGTGAGTTGTGAAATATTGTAGGACTTGATACTGCAGCAGGAGTATTATTTGAACATTTTTTTTTTCATTATTATTATTATTTTTTTTTTTTGGGGGGGGGGGGGGCACAACATGTAAACTAACCACTTTTATTT